GGTTAGATTAAAGCTTTTAATGGACCATTAAAACTAGAATAAATTGGCTAGAAGATATTTGATATGCATTGAAGACCCGAATTATAAATTTCAAATTCCGAAACCGAATTCGGATTAAGTAGCTATAGCTTCCGGTTAAGGGCCCCAGCTCCTCGTTATGCCATTGTGCCCCGAAGCTCTGCAATTACCTTGGCGGCTTTAATGGTATAATGCCAGTTAACTATAGTGTGAGCGGTACTCTCGTTATTACAACAGCTTTTTATGATCTGGCAGGCGTACAGTTTTTGGGGAGCAGCTGAACAAACAAGCCAAAATATGTTTAACCGATAATTAAGTGGCATCCAACACTGCCCACTGGAAGACTCGGGGCTGCACTGAAACCTTCAGATTTGGACTACGAAATGGGCCAGGTTCCAACATACACACATCGGCGGGATGCCAATGGCAGATCCCGCCCAGCGGCAGCTCTTGCATGAAGAATTGCTGGGGCGCAACGCAAATAGCTTAGCACAACAAAAAAATGGAAATCATCTTCACATTTGGCGCTAAATGTTTTTCGCTGCCTTACAAATCGCCGGCAATTTGCTCGGCCCCAACAAATTGAGTTCCCTTTAAGCCTAGGCACATGAATGCGCTCGAAGCTCCGACTCGCCCTCAATGGGCCAAGTGTGAAACAGTTGACAGGCGGCTGCCACGAAGCGTCAAAGTGACTTCAGCTATGCCTCCGACCGCCAGGCTACTTCGCTTTTTTCATTCTCGCCCCACAGCCACACAAATTGCAAATGAGTGGCCGACACAAAAACGCTGCACGGAAATGCACAAGAATTCTTGGGCAAAAAGTGGCCGAAAATTGTATCAGAGGCGGACGAAAATAGCCAGCAGCAGCAGCCAAAACGATTGCATTTGACCTCAAAATCTATTAGCACGTCGAACTCTGGCGGCTATGAAATGCAACTGGTGCCGCGCCCCCTCGGGCGACTCGAGGCCCGAAAACAGTGGGGTTGCGGCAAGAATCACCACATCAGCGGCAATAATTGCTACCACACTCATGTCTGGGTGCATCAGCGACACGTAGGTCAATGCATCAACATCTGGCCAGAGAGCATCATCAGACGCAGCCGCAGTCTGGCTGGCTATCTCTTGAATCTCTGGGGCTACGACTTTTAAAAAATGTTTAACAAAAAGTCTCGTTATTGCAAAATCTACATGTCTTGTCTGACGCACATTCACACTTGGGATTTTTCATGATTGTTCATCGCACTCGAATGAAACCTGAGGATAACTAAATAGTTGTTGATTAATTGTTGGCCAAACAAAATGTCACAAGGTACATGTTGTGTGATTGATTAATTGTTTACCCAAAAAAAACTGTCTCAAACTCCTCTTACATTTAAATCGAGTCATATTTTCTTCACCTGAGATCTGCGTGATATATGCCTTGCTCAGATCCCGACCCATTTCTCAGTGCTCATCTGTCATTCAGAGCGGAGATGCCGGTACCTGAACTGACAGCGGTAAATATTTATTCAGTAATCCAATTATGAGTATTTGTGCTGGCCCCAAACATTATGCAAATATCAAAACGCACATCATTCGGATGATTTATGGGTACGAAAGGTCCCAGAAAGAGGGGAAATAAATCCCAAATCGCACATTACAATGGGGTTTATTTCGGGCAGTCCCGAAAAGTGATCTTAATCGCTCGGATGTGCCAATATAAAATACTCTTTTAATTGCCCGCCTCGCAAGACTTTTAGGAACAACAAAGAGCAGCAGATGATGCTTGCCAAATCTGCTGTAAAATAAATAAACAAAATGCACAATGGGGCTGGAAGGGGCACTTTCAAAACATTTGCTGGGAATCGCCGACGGAGCCAAGTGATTTGCTCGGCTAAGACTTTTATGCATTTATAATGACATTTTTCACACAGTTTGTTTCCAAAAGCTCAGGCAAACAACAACTGTGCGTTGCCATTTAAAATGTTTAACATTTTAATTTGGTTTTGTTTTAGTTCAGCTTCGTCTTCAGGTAAAATAGTGTGACAGAGTCTATTTAGATGTATAGCAGAATGTAGGTAGTATTTTGTTGATTAATTATGAAAATTTGCATAACATTTGCTCAAGTCAAAGATTAGCACTGAAAAACAAATGAGTCAGGCAGGAAACTGGAATATAGTGTTAAAACAGGCAGATATTATCTAGATAAAGTGGTGGGGATAAATAATGTGGAATTACCAGAACACCAAAGTTCCTCCCTCAGAAATTCGTGACTCTTTAATTTATTCCCAAGGATGCCAACGGCCTTTTGCGTCGGCAGACAATTTCTCTCCCACCATTAGCCAAATGACCAGCATATCCATCCGCACCTGCATGGCACTCCCAATCGCGCTGAGCAAACAAAAAGCCGCAATCAAGTTTTAGATTTTCCCTAGTCCGCCGTGTTAATCGTGGGGGCTTCGATTGAAGATGCGCTGACTTTATGCAATTTTTCGCAACAGGAATGGCCGGCAAGGCGAGTCAGCCGTTTCATAATGAGCATCGGTAAAGGTGAAATTTTTCCTTTATTTCACTTGCACACGAGTTACAAATAAAATGAAATAAAAACCGTTTATCCAGCGTCGTTGGAGTTGGAGGAGAAGGCCACACAAGAGTCAGTGCAAGGCAGCCAGGCAGATAAGCCGACACAATCCACAATCCGGCAAAACACGAACAGCCAAAACAAATAAATCAAATCTTCAAATAACACGTATACGACATGTGGTCGACGGGGAAGAAGGCAGCAGAAGCATCAGCAGCAGCGGCAGCAGCTTGGCGTTGCCTTAGTTTCTATGCTCTGTGTTTCAACACTTTGCCACAACACAATGCGGCAAAAAGCGCAAAAACTACAAGAAAAGCTGCGGAAAAAAACAAATGCTTCCTTCATGTCAGCTCAGCAACCGTAAAGGTTAAGCGGCAACTTGACAAAAAGGTTAAAACGATTTAACAGACATTTGGCTGCAATGCGAGGAGTGTGCCCCTCGAAGCTCCTCACACTTCGGTCTGCAAAAGCGACCTGGGCAATCGCTGGATGCATCGATCCTTGGCAGATCCATCTTGACGTGGCAGTCCCCTTCCCGAGGTCCCGAACTCCCCGGAGGTCTGCGCATTGCGCATGTGTTGAAGGCGGAACCAAATTTTGATTGCGGAGACCCTCGGCTTGGCGCGGAAAATGCAACCTCAGTCTTTAGCAGTTAACTGGCGCTAGCTTATTATTTTTTTTTTGTTTTCGGTTGGTGTTGGCACAACACCTGCTCTTGCCATCGCGTTGACATTTTTTGTTGCTCCGATGATAATGATTTGGCGGCGAAACTTCCTTATTTGTCATTGTTGTCGTTGCACACTTTTCAGCCACGCTTTGCCACCAAGATGATTGAATTTCTCGTTGCTCCTCGCTTTCCTATGAATTATTGGGCAGACAATTTGATTAATTTCATCCAATAAATCCGCTGAGAGGAAGTGCCCAGCCAGGGAACATAATTTATTGATGAAGCTAATTCATTAATGGCAATTTATAAATACGATCATTATACAAATTCTCAAATGAACCGATCCGATTCGACCTTCGCCGGACTAATCGCCATTTAAGCCAATTCAATTCGTTTTGGCAAAGCCTTGACAATGACAAACTCTTGATTCGTGTAATTGCCAATCGAGAATCGTGAATTGAAATTAAAACCTGTGCAGACCAGCCAGTGCAACTCTTGAACTTTAACAGATCGCTCGGCTAATCGACTTAATTCCCAATTTTTATTAAATCTTAATGCCAAGCCTTGTGCATGACTATTACCAAAGTGACTGCTGTAATTTAATTTTGTGAGCCAACATTACGCTATTTTGACGAAATTAAATTTAGGTGTGAGAATATTTTATGCAAACAGCCAGCAAGACGAGAACCCCGCCAAGGCAATCCACTAATTTAAATACAAAAAGCAATTTCGGCAACCGAAGAATCCAGCAGACAATGCATAAAAGTAGAATCTTCGTCGTCTTGAACAACTGCAGCTAATTTCAATTTAAATTTATCTTCGCATCGAATGAAATTTCGAGATTCTGTTCGATTTTGCATTGTTATTGAAAAGAGCCGCGTTACGTAAAGAAAACAAATCTATTGTCTTGACGGTTCGGGTAATTACCCAAACCATTGAAAATTATTTAATTGAAAGAGTGTCGCCGGGCAAGCCGGTTGGTGTTGATCTCTCTGGTTTCTGCTGGTGTCTCCCCAAGTTTTGATATTGTTTGCTGTTGTGCAAATTAAAACAATTACTTGAAATTATGCAAAGTACGCAGAAACTACAGAAACTACGGGAACAGCGGCAGCAGCGACAACAGCTGCAAAAATAAGCTGACGGAAGCGAGCGATACGATAGTCGTAGCAAAGTGAATGCCTTGGTGGATTGACTGACTGCCTTACTGACTGACTGACTCCTGGACGGCGCCTGACAGCTGTTCCTGGGCAGCCGAATTGCTTTTTGGCCGGGCCAGCCTAAAATGTAATAATTTATTGCGCATAGACCCTGTGGTACTCGGCTGTCGGGCCCAAATGCGAACTGCGCATCTGCATATCCAACTATCTGCGCTTCTGAATACATATCTCTATTTATGGCGAGCAGATATATCTAACGATCTGCCGTAAATTTCTGCATGCGTTTGTGGGCGTCTACAGATTATGCAATCGCTGAGAGCCTTCTGCGCTTTGTTTGTCTTCTTCGGCACATTGACAACTCTTCTTCGCCGATTTGTGCAAGCCCCGGAGTACATTTATTATTATTTCTGCCGTTGTTTTCGTATAATTTCTATTACCCAATAAGGCGCCTTGTGGTGTGTACGTGTTTTCGACAATAATTAGTTTGCCGTTTCTTTCTTTCTTATTTTTTGGCATCTCCCACGATCTTGTGCAATAAATATTCATAATTTTGTTAACTAGCTAAACATTTGTTTCTCTGCTTCCCTCTATCTTTCAGGCAATTCCAAATACAAAATGCGGTCTACGCAGCTCAACTTGTTGTGCGGTAAGTTAATAAGTTCAAAAGGTTATTTAGGGAAATTATAAATATTTGAGTTAGGATTTAATCAGAGATTAGGTATAGATAGAGCTTTAGAGATTTTATCAAAGTACACATTTCAAAGATTTAAAGTAAAATATTAAAGTATTATAAATACCGAATTTATAGAAAAGCAATAGTGATTATGAATGTCAGTTTAAAAATAATATTTTCCATATATGGTAAAAATGGATGACCAAAAATTACTAAAATATACTTTTGCAATATGTACATTATACATTGTAATATGATAACCAAAACTGATAAAAATGACAATAATTTTAGGATTAAACCCCCACCTTTTCAAGAAAATAATGTACGTTTTTCTTTAATTGTAATTTATCCTAAGTAAATTATCCGGTGGATGTTAATAGGCATGTAGTTATAATTTGTACAATTCTTTATTCACATTTATATTCGATTCAAGAGCCAAATAAATATTTCAGCAAATAAAAGGCATTCTTCGGGTTGGCAACATCCTTGACCTTGTCAACTCATAGTTTTCCCATCATAGATCACCGGCTAACGGTTGATTGCGTGTGCCGCAAAGCGCGGGCGGCAAAGCGGCCAAGATTGCGTTAATGCGCCTTTGTCTTTGTGTTAGCCGGTTGCGTGAGCCGTCTTCGTTTTTGTTATTAGGCTGACTTGGCGTGCGACAAAAAGAGGTTCCGAGACATAGTTCAGATTCGGATTCAGATTAAATGTGACTTTGATTTGAATTAATGGATTGGCCAGACTGGCCGAATGCTGAATGCCGAACGCCTGGGAAATGCAATTTTTAACGGCTCATTAGGACGGGCGTGTTGCTGTTGGCCGAGACCCAGATGCCAAGGGGGCATAAGTGACAGCTCATCCAGCGAGCGAATAAAACCAACAATGGCCGACAATCTTCTTTGGGCCTTTGGGTCGCCGAGTAATTACGCGCCCATCGACAGCACCTCTCAATTAAGTTGGCAGACCATCCCGCTGCGAGGGGCACGAACCCAATCGAAAAGGCAAACGTAACGAAACGAAACGACAGATCGGACAGATCCGAAATTGATGCGGTGCGATGCGAGTACAACGCGGCGTATGGTTGATGAGGCGGCCGTTCGAATTTGAGCCCGCTTGCCAATCAGCGGGCACAAATTATGGGCAATTGTTTAATTTGAATAAGGCAGCAACACCCGCGACCAAATCATCAGCGGGTCTTCTTCGATGATTCACTTAATCGCAGTGATTATGCAGCAAGTGGGCCTTGAATCTTGCGGCTATTTTGGTTATTCAATAACCCTCTGCGGCTGACATCTTCCTCTGCCGGCCGCCACTCAAGACGCAGTTCATCATGACTTTTTTATTTCTGTTTTTTTCTTTAATTGTTTTTATGCTTTAAAATTTAATTATTGCACTTCGAGGGGGCCTGAGGTCAGTCACTTCCAGCCAGTCCCAGTAGTCGCGTCTTGCGTAATTTGGCAATGTCTGCCATCCAAGTTGAATGGAAAAGTCAAGGTCTGCGGGCTCGCCGTCAAGAAGACATTCTAAACGGCGAAGGAGAATCCAAACCTAAAAAGTTGACGAACCAGACTTTGCTAGAGAATGCCCAGCAAAATGGCCAAGCAAGTCTATTCACAAAGAACATAATTGCTGTGTAGCACGAGAAGATTCATTAAAGAAATTCCTTATAAAATTTTAAACAAGCGTGCAGGTTCCAGCTTAAATTTGAACACGATATAATTAAGAACATGGGTAGCTTTAAAGAGCTAACAATTTCGGGGATTTTTTTATAGAAGATAGTTTACTATTAATAATAATTTAATAATATGTTATTATATGCCTTCCTATAAATATTTTTTGGTGGTCATTTATTATTTAATTTAACCATTACAGCTTTGCTCATGCTGGTATTCCTTGGCTACACAAGCGCAGAATCAAAGGTAAGTTGAAATCTTAAATACCATCTCAATTTTCCCCTTTGATAACTTTTCATTTTGCCATATAGTATCGCACTCCTGCCCGGATATTGGCCAAGCAAACGGGGGCTACTCAATTCGAGGAGGAACGCTATGAGGCGCATACAAACTGCAACGAACACAAGCACCACTTGAAGAAGCGAGCTTCCGATGAGGATGTGGACTACGAGGTGTACCAGGGTGTGGTTGGACGTCCGGGCATCGACTTTCCCATCTACCCACGGATCCCGAAGACCTCGTTCAGCTGTCGTTCCTATGGAAATGGATACTTTGCCGATATGGAAACGGATTGTCAAGTAGGATGATGATTAGGACAAGAAAGAAATCATTGACTCACATTCGATATCGTTTCAGGTCTTTCACATCTGCGAGGAGGGCCGTAAGATCTCCTTCCTCTGTCCCAATGGCACGATCTTCCAGCAGAGCGAGCTCACCTGTGACTGGTGGTTCAAGGTCAACTGTCTGGGATCCTCGGGCTATTATGCAGAGAGTGCTGAGATCCTCAACAAGCAGCGGGTGCATCGCGTGCGTCCCTCTGTTCCCGTTCAAGGCTTCAACATAGTGGGTGGTGGGCTAGACATCAAGCCAAAGGTCACTCCAGTCGCTGGTCAGGGAAGGTCTGGTAATCGTGCTAATCCCGACAGACGTATCGATTCCACGGAAGATGTTCCCGCCTCAGTGGAGAGCGTGGACTTTGATGATGTATCCGGCGAGAAGCAGCGAAAGGTTCTGCCCAGCATCGATAGCAATAGCAATGACCATGAGACTCAGATTACTGCGGAGAGCTCCTCATTTGTCAGTGGTTCCGGCAAGCGAAGGATCAATAAGGATAGCAACCCAAATCGCAACGAGGACGTCACAGTTTTGAAACCAGCCCGCATTAGGACTCCAGTGGCCTCACAGGAGAGAGGAGTCTCCACCGAAAGAGCCCGGAATGGTCAGAGGGGACAGCATCGCTACAGTGGAAGCGAGGAGCACAGCAAGGAGAAGGATAAGCCTGCTCCCAGCCAGTCCAAGGAAAAGCCGGAGTTCTTCGAGGCTCATTCCACCCGATCAGTGCCACAGACCACTCCTCGCTACTCAGCCGGAAGCCATCCCACCGTGCGCCGCCTGGAACCCAGCAAATCCACGCCCTTCTACACCCCCACTGTTCCCAGTTTGGTCAAGTCGAAGAGCACCGAGGGAAATCTGAACTACATCAAGGGTGGTCATGTGGCCACTACACCAAATCCCCATAGATTTGGCGGCGCTAGCTCAGGAATTTTCCTTGAATCCTCCGCGGCACCAAAGGTGAAACCCACCGCGAGTGCCAGTATCGAACTGGACAGCACCTTCAAGCCGGTTATCATTGGCATGAGGCATCACTATGATGTGGCCAGTTCCGGAGAGTTCCGACCACCTTCCAAGTCCACCGAGAGTCGGGACTATCTGCCCACCACTCCGTCACCATCGGCCACCAGCAGCGGACCAACTTATCTGCCCAAGAGTGCAAAATCGCCAAGGGGAAATGCGGCAGGTGCAGCTGGAGAAGATGTTCTGCTGTTCGCCCCCAATCCCGTGAAGGAAGAGTCTGTCTATCGCAATGTGCAGGAAATGCTGAAAACAATGAACCTGTTGAAGGATCAGTTTGAGGACGTGGAGCTGAATGCCGCGGCGGCAGCTCCGGCTAGAGTTGGTCTGGAGATTCCGCCCTCCTCAGGACCGGATGCCCTCGTATCGTTTGCCAAGTACTTTGCGCAGGAACATAATGAAACCACAAATGCCCTGGGCAAGCCGGATAAGTCGGAGAAGACAGACAAGACGGGAGTGAAGACTAAGCTGTCTGTGAAGCCACCACCACTGCCCACTATCAAGCCATCGGACACCACTGCGTTGCTGACCACTTCGGAGAATCCTCCAGCCATTAGCGATAATGCGGACGACATCAAGAAGAGTCTACTGAGCGATACAACCGTCAAGAAGTACAGCAATCTGTTTGGCCTGAAGGCCGCCCAAGGTCGCGTTGCCGGAGAGGGCGACATTAGCTCGGGATTGCTCTCTAACCAGCCCAATGGAACGCAGTCGGAACCCGGTTCGAAATACCAGCAGTTCCCGCAGATCGGCAGCACAGGTTCCACTGTAGGTGCCCTGGCGGAGAAGCCAGAGTCCCGTAAGATCGCTCAGATCTTCTCCAATGCTCTGTCCAGCTACCTCGATAACCCAGCCACGTTCCGCGCGGAACTGGCTGCCCGCGCTCGACCCACGGAGCCACCAAGTACGCCGAACTTCAGACCCGTGACCACCACAGATCCCTCGCTCTTCAGCGATGGAACAGCCAAGTACTACCTGCCCACCAAGGGATTGCCCGAGGCCACAACGCCTACACCGAATAGCATTGCAGCGGAAATTAACCACAAGTTCGATTCGACTCCGGCTCCGGACTACTCCACCACCACTGAGCTGTACGAAGGAAGCACAAGTCGCGGCCAGGAAGTGGAGTTCTCGGGGGAGCTGTCACCACCGAGTCAGGATTCCGGCGAGGAGTTCCTGCAGCAACAGCAAACGCAATCGTTCGTCAAGTCGCGCAACGATCTGCTCAAGGATGCCAGGCCTCAGAAGCTGGTGACGACCCACAAACCCACTGAGCACCCGTGGGCGCTGAAGTCGCAGACGGACTTCCTGGATCCCCTGACCATCAACGACGGCCTGATGAAGGAGCAGCGGACTTCCACTACCAGTAGCACCTCCACCTCGACGTCCACAACAGCCTCTCCGTTCGCCTACAGGGTGACCACGCCCACGCCATCTCGTTACGAGTGGGAGGACATCTTCCGGAGCTACGACATTCCCCGGGACGCCCTGCCCTCCAGCAGTGGTCTCCAGAGGATAGCCAACAAGCTGTTCGGCGGTCTCAACGAACAGGAGGCACTGCATCTGCGCAACGTGATGGCCAAGGCGGAGCACGATCGCCAGGTGCTGAGCCTGCTGCTGCTGCTCATCCAGACCTGTGACGACCACAACGGCAAGGCGCTGGAGCGGAGTAGGAAGCACCTGCTGAACGCACTCATCGATATTGACAGCAAGACGGCGGCCGGAGGAAAGACCTCCAGGCAGAGACTGACCACCACCACCAACCGCATCCCGGTGACCACATTCCGACGAGGTGGTTCCGCCGGAGGCGAGTACTTCACCAGTACCACGCCGGGCTACACGACAACCACGGATCTGCCCACCACAACAGGTCTGGGGACGGGCAGCTACGAGGAGACCACCAAGTTCGAGATACGCGTCGAGGATCTGGAGGAGACCACGACGACGACGGCACCGCTGCTGGAGGTCAACTCGGACCGGAGGGCCCTGGAGCTGCTCAAGTCATTATATTCGCTGGCGTCCAAGTTCAGCAGCAGGCGATAGAGCGAGGGCGGTGGCGGTTCCTAGACCTTGCGAGTTAATGCCTAACTTTAGTCAACTCCACTCTACCCCCCTCTTCAGTTCAGTTTGATTTTCTCTAAGTTAAAGCCCCCTATCCTATATCTATATACCTGTACCTATATGATTTTTATTCTGAACCAGTTACTTGTTAATCGACTTCGTTTAGCCAATGCAATTGCGCAATTAGTTTGTAAATATGTAATCGAAATACTCGACGATGAGAGTCCTGAAATACTCCCGCGCCCGAAACAGGCATAGACTTGGTTGTTCCTGATGCCCAGCCAAGCAGTTTCCGTTTAAGTTTAATCGAGAGTTGTATTAAATTAGTTTCTTACTGCTTAGTCTTAACGAACGAGAACACTTTCCAACCAGTATCCAGTATCGAGTATCCATTATCCAGTAGGAGCGATCTATTTGAACAATCTGTACGTCTTGCTGTCTGTTTGTAAATATTTATTTAAACTTAATAAAGTACATATAAAAATAAATAAAAATGCGCTTTTAGACGGGAATCAAATGGGAGATGAATGGCCAGTGGGCCAAGCTAACTGATTAAATCATCACTACTGGCATTAGATGGGGTCTTAAATAAGTCAACCGGGGTAATCCCAAGAGCCCATCAAAAACTGCGCTTGCGCCTTGACACAAATCGAATGGCTTTTGCGTTTTCCAGCTCTAGTATAAATCTTTGGTAAGGTCGAACCGAGCCAAAGTCATGAAACGATCGTGTAATCAGGCGAAATTTAAATATTTTTGTCATTGCTGATGAATGCATTTGCAAGAAAATCGAATTTGCCGCTCTCAAGGACAAGACGAATCGGATTGAAATTGCATTGCACTTGAAAAGGCTATAATATTGAATTGATCATCGCGTATACGTAACTAATATTACGTATACGTCATGTAGGGTCTCGCTGATATATGAATTCTGATAACCGGCCGCCGTCCCCGAACAATGGATAATCCAGCGTCGTAAATCTGCTAAAGCGCAGGCACAAACGAACTGACGAACTGTCGTCGGTCTTTGGGGCAGCTGCCACATAAATATGGCAAAGATGCCGCATCCAAGTCGAGTTTCAGAATTTGGTATAAATTTCTAACATCGTTCTAAGCTGGCCCGCAGTTGCCTCTCAAGTTTTGGACAGTTCACAGGTCGTCGGTCGAAAAGGATTAACAGGAAATCTCACTGGCACAAACTAAGTAATTCGGAATCGTCTCCAGCATGTTGCAAGTGCCCCCAAATCGCTGCTCGTGCGTCTTGGCAGGTGAGTTGGCCAACAAGTCGGACTAGCTGACCCAGACCCAACCCACTGCGGCGCGTAACTCAACAGTGACGAGCGATCGGCTGTCCGCCCCATCATCCCCAGCACCATTAGCACTTCCTTTGGAGGGGCGTCTGTCTGTCTAACTTTTTGCTGCCTTGCATATTTACGAGGCATGCGTCTTGCCTTTGGCCCACCGGCTGCCGCAATTCTTGGCAGCCGATTGATGTTGCGGTGCGTTATTTCAGCAATTGGCACCGTGGAACTTCAGGCTCGTCAAAGGGTCTAAGCTGGAAATTCAGTTATTTTCTTAGAAGTTGCGGGTGAATAAATAGGAGCATTAGCTTTTCTCTGCTTTCAAACGCTTTGTAATAAATCATAAAAATTCCACAAGTGCAGAATTATAAATATTTACAAAAATTAAACATTCACATTTATTCCATTTGAAAAATTTGACAATAAAGAATTTTATTGATCAAATTATTGATTGGTTTGCTTAAATATTTTTCGACTTGTAGCTTACAGCAACCATCTAGTTTTTGGGATACAAAATTTCAGTCTATTCGTTTTCTGCACAAGTAGATTCCAAAAAAATAGTTAAGTTTAGATCTCAAAACCACTGTGCCCGCAACGTAGGAGTAGGAAGCTGATAAATAAAGATCGCGGTGCAGAACCGTCTAAGCCGCGCTATCAGCGCCCAGAATCGCGACGTACTTGGCCTTAATATGGGCTGCGAAACTCTTCGCTGCCAACGCCATCGATGGCTGGCAGGGCGTTCATTTCCATTTGGTGCGTCGGCGGTTCCACAGCTCGGAGAAGATCTTCGCCAGATTCCACAAGCGATTAGAAAGCGTTAATGTTGGCCCGTTTATTAATTCCAGTTCTGGTGCTGCTCTGGAGCGGCGGCTTGGCCCAGTTGCAGGTGCAGGTGAGTTCTAGGCACCCTTCGTTCCTGACCGTTTCTAAGTTTTAATACATTCTATTGACAGGCTCAAAGTGGCTACAACTATGGGCGCCCCGAGGTGGCCAATGTGGGAGGAGCCACCGCCGGAGGTCGCTTGACTCCTGGTCCGTATCCCACGGCTGCGGCCATTCCACTGACCCCCGCTCCGGCCACCACTGCGTATGGAGCTGGTTTGTTTCCCTCGCCTGCCGTTGGATTCACGCCCAGTGGTCAGGCCACAACTGCCTTTGGAGCTCCAGCCGTTGTGGGAGCGAGTAACACAGTTGGCCAGCCGAGGAGAACTTCATCGGGGGGACTATCAACCCCATCATCCCGCGGAGGACCCTACGGACCGCAGACCTCACAGTACGGCAATGCTCCCGGTGGCTCTCCAATCCGAGTGGCCAGTGGAACTGGAGACAGCGGGGACTACAACGATGGCGAGGGCGACTACTCGGCCATTCCCGGTGTGGCTGGAGTGGATTACCCCGTTTACGCCCAGGTGCCGCGCACCAACTTCGACTGCTCGCAACAGCCCCTGCCCGGATATTATGCGGACATCGAGGCGCAGTGCCAGGTCTTCCACATCTGTGCCCTCAACCGGACGTACTCCTTCCTCTGTCCCAATGGCACGGTCTTCAGCCAGGAGACCCTAGTCTGCGTGTGGTGGAACCAATACGACTGTGTCTCGGCACCCAGCTTGTATGCGAATAATGCTTATATCTACGATTACTCCGGAGGAAGTGGCTCCAACCTGGGTACCTCGAATGCTAACAATGCCTATCGTCCGGCTGCTGCCTCCACCACTGCCTTTGGGGCACCTGTTGCCACGACCGGAACCCTTCGGGCCACCGGAGTGCCCCAGGTGGCTGGCTACAATTCCGGACGGGGGTCCTATCCTTCGGCCACGCCCACGCCAGCCGCCCAGGCTCAGAGCCCGTATGGCGCAGGTGCCGTCCTTCGACCCGCCATCGTCCCAAGTGCCGCAGCCAATCGATTGCCACCCAGCGGAGCTGCTGTCGGTCTTCTGGCCACCGCAGCTGGTTCCCTTCAGGATAATTCAGTGGCTGGATTTGGCCAGCAGCCGCAATCTCAGTTGGTGGCAGGTGGTAATCGAGAGTATCTGCCACCGGCTGGGGTTGGACAACGGCAGCGCGGCGGAACCACCGCATAGGCATTGGAACACTGGCGAACCCTGGCATCTGTACCCGGTTTTATGGCATTAGATTTAGCTACCCTAGATTTAGCCCTTTATAGTATGCTAGGAGCTCCGAACATAGATCTTTGTAATTAGTTTTAGATACCTTTCATTAAAAAATATACAAAAATAAGGTCTTCATAAAATATGGTTTGATGCTTAACAACAGGTAATAAAAAATAGGAAAATAAGTGAATAATTTCATAATTCATCTAATTGAAGATATAGTTACTTTTTCCTTTAATTTGTTAGGGTTTCATGTACAGCTTGGCATTTATTGAAGTGCTCTATAAAAATCAATTTGTATTGTATGCTTATCCTTTGATTGCGAGACCTTTCCCTCTCGTAAAAGCTTTCCGTACTCCTGCTTAAAGTCCGACCGGATATACAAATTTTTGCCCCTTTTCAGTTTCGGTTGGCCAGCCTTTGGCAGCGGTATCGTTGGATTGAAAGCCATCTGTGTGCTGTCGTATTGCGTGAACAGTTCGTGAGAGGTGCTAAAACAACAAATTATTCGTTAGAATCACACATGTAGAGAACATATAAATACTTACAGCTTCCCGATATCCGTGGGCAGCGCTCCCTCGCCGGAGGCTGGAACTCCGTGGGCAATGTGATTGGCCATGCGTCGCACGGTGGGATGATAGTGACGCGACAGAAGGGCGAGCTCATATAGCGAAGTGCTGGCCGCATTACAATACTCGGGATCGTCGAGTTCAGGGTCATAACGTCCCGAGCCTATACTCGTATCCGTGTCCAGTAGATTGTCCAGTACGGAAGTGAGCTGGAAGGTCTGTTTTATGGTGCCCAGTGTGGCCAAGGTGCCGTTGTGGAGCAGATGCAGACTTCCAGTGAGCAACCTTTTAACAAAGGCCATTAGACGCTGCTGGCTCATATTTCGTCGTCGCTTTACCAGCACCTCATCCAGCGTTCGCAGGATAATGGTAAAGTCATCATGATTCTTGCCCGCCTGCACGGCAAGCATATTCCGGTAGAAATGCTGGTAGAATCTGATTGGATCGATATTAAGCACTTCACCCTGGCCGGAGAGTATAACAAATATGGTCTGAACGCAGTGCAATCGCTCGCGATAGCCCAGCTCGTCTTGGTCCTCCAAAATGCGGTTGAGCACATCAATCAGGTCCGAGAAAAACTCCAAATTAATAACGTGCGCAAATCTGGAATAAATACAAGAAATGAGGGAAGATTCAAAGATCATACAACCACCACTTACTCAGCCAATCCCTCTAGAATGGCGCTCAATACGCGCGATGTGGGATCGTTCTTCAGCACACGGAAATAGATGGTAAACACCATCTTGATGATCTCGGTGAGCTTCTGGTGCTTGTCCTGCTTGTTCTCCTCGGCACGAGTCTCCTCCAGCTCCCTGTTAACCTCGGTGAGCTTCTTCCGCCTCTTGCGCTCTTTCTTGGACAAACTCAGCAAGCGTTGGCGATGCGACTCCAGCTTCTTTTGCTTCAGATCGTTCTCCTTCTCGGCGTCCAGGTTTACGTTCTTGATCTTCAGACCCAGCAAACAGGTAATGCACTCGACATGAACATTGTTTTGCTTCGTTTTGATCAGATGGTTAATGCGTCGCACTATGAAAAGGGTCATCTCATATCGCTTGTCGTTGGAGAAGACGGTGCGGAAGCACTGATTGACAGCCGTTCGCATTTCCTGGTAATTGCAGTTGAGCATGTAGACCAGCAGCTGGGCAATGTTTTGGACGTAGTTGAAGTAGGGATGCGCGACCAGCAGATCGCACATGCACTGCACCGCCACGGTGGCCAACTTGACGGTCTGCGGCGTCCTAAGACCGCCTCTCCTGTTCACCTGCGCCGTGATCAGCTCCAGCTTCTGCAGGAACTTCTTGAACTGCTGCAGCAGTGCGTTTTCAAAGGTCACGCGGTCCAGGGTGGCCTTGCGCAGCGTCTGCATCTTGGTGTCCACCTGACCTACTCGATACTCGGGCAAAATGTCTTTGAAGATCTCGGTAACAGAGATTATGGCCAGCTTTCTCACGGCCATTAGGTTGGCCTGCCGGCTGGCTGGGTTGATCTCGTCCATGAGTTCGTACAGAGCATGAAAGTTGCGCATCTTGTCCTCTGGTTTTTCAAGCAGCCCCGAGCAAATGATTCCAATGCGATACTTTTGGCGCTCAATTTCCTGCTGGCGAGCGATCAGCAGATCCGTGGTTGAGATGAGTTTTTGTACGGGAACGGCGGCCGTCGCCTCGACATCGTTGACCACATCGTCATCGCTGTCCTCGTACTCCGTCTCCCCGTCCTCATCTTCCTCAGAGTCCTCGTCCTGCTCCTCCACGTCCTTCTTTTTCTGCTTGGGCTTCGGCAGGTAATCCACCTCTGTGGTGCGGGTGATGATCTGACCATCCCTGGACTTGATGGGCAGCAGATCCAGCTTGATTTTCTGCGCCGCCTGCTCTTTCTTGGTGTCCGAGGCGTAGGCCCTTTCCAAGCCGATGGATTGCCCCTGCTCCTCGTCCTCCTCGCCGGTCGACTTGGCCTTCCGCTTGCGTTTGTTGGCCTGCAGCAGGGCGAGATCATCGCCATCCAGCATGTCAGCGACGTTATCCAGCATCTCATCGTCGCCATCCTCGTTGTCGTCCTCCAGCGGATCCAGTCCCAAGGAGGCCAGTTTGTTGTGCTTCTTGCGCTGGGCCAAATTGTCGCGCTTCCTCGCCTTCTGGGAGAATATATTCTGGCCCTGATCCCGCTTGGAACTCAGTTGATCGCGTTTCTGCTTCTGCTTTTGTTGTTGCTGCTTCGACTGCGGTGTTTTCTTCGATTTCAGGTGAGCGGCCCGCTTCACCGAGCTGATTTTCACCTTTTTCTAAAGTGAATTGTGTTATTACGTGTTTCATGTGCCTGTTTTACGTACTTACCGCACCCATTGCGCCTGTTTTAATTGATTTATAATTAAAATTCACAAATGTTGACTTCTGATTTTGCCGAGCACATGGGAAGCTAAGGGAACTGTCCACTGGATGGTGGAGAGCAACAGCTGGTTTGGTGCTGGCAACTCGTTTTTTAAATTCGTTTACTTGTATTTTTCCAGTATTTTTATTTTCCATTCGCTAGGGGGATTCCCTAAACTGTTGAATTGCTGAATTGTTGAAAATTCAACAAAAAATGTCAGCAATTAAGGGAACGACCCAAAATGGTTCCTGTTGAATTTTCAAACAGCTGTTATTTGTTAAAAAATTTCACGGAACTTAAAGCATGTAAAATTTGATTTATTATTGCTAGTTACTATCTAAAAGTGATATAAAGGTAAAAAGAACCACAAATATGCTTTCTAAGTTGATTTTAAAATAAATAATACGTACTGGTGATACTAAAATGTTACAGGGTTGCCACGACTTTTAAAAAAAGGTGACAACTCTGGCTTTTCAGCAATTCAACAAAATTTTCATCAGCCCCGAGGCTGTTGAATTGCTGAAGTTTCTGAAACTTGACTTTGTATGGAACAGCTGATTAACAGCTGACCAAAATTCAACAATTCAGCAATTCAACAGTTTAGGGAATCCCCCTGCTGTTGAAATGAATACTAAAGATTTCTAAAGTGTTGTGGGATTCATTTTCAATATTGATTTATTTAAATATTCTTATAAATCAATTCTAAAGTGTTAACGAATCACTGAGAAAGCATATCCAAAATAGATAGAAAAATGCATTTGCTTGTAAATAAATTTGTTGATTGATATATAATATAATAATAATATACATTTTACGAGCTCTGTTCAATATAAATTCGAACTGCAACCCAATTTCGTCCCAACATATTTCTGTGCAACCTGGTAACGGTGATTTCGTAAACAAGTTTTTGTCGCCTACCCTGTAACGGTCATACCAAAAATCGAAGTGTAAATAAACAAATGTCTGACGAGGAGGAGGATTATATGTCCGACAAATTCCTGGCTGGGTGAGAAACGATTATCCAGTGAAGCTAACGCACCGGCATGTGACAAATACCCTTTCTTTAACAATTAGTCTGCAGGATGTGCGTCCCAGCTTGGTGCACAATCGCGGCAAGAAGCGGCAGTTGGAAGTCGAGACCAAAAACGAGGAGCTGAAGAAGCGCCAACGAGAGGCAGCCGCTGCGTCGGGAAAAGTGGACAATGATCGACTTCAGGAGTCGCTCAACAAACCGCTATCCTCCGACAATAAGGGCTTCCAGCTGCTGGCCAAAATGGGCTACAAAGCGGGCTCTGGATTGGGCAAGCAATCGGATGCCCGCACAGAACCCGTGGGAATTACCATAAAGAGCGGTCGTGGAGGCCTGGGACGCGAGGCAGCCGTGGCTGAGTTGACCCTCAAGAGGCAGGAACTGCGGAGGGCCCATCTCCTCAGCAAGGCCGGCATTGAATCCCGTGAAGAAATCAGCACTGAGGCTTACCGACGACGAGCGACCCACAAAGCGGAAGAACGCAAGCTGCAGTATGACATAAAACGGTGCCAGCAGACCTGCGAATCGTTGGATCTCAAGTCAGGTGTTACAGAACCAGATCTGGACTTCTTTTGGCCACCCAAACCAAAAGAGGAAGATGGAACAGAAAGCGAAGGGGAATCGGATGACGATGAGCCACCCAAAGAGGAACCATACACTCCATCGGAACAACTGGAGCTTCTCACCGGCTACCTGCGCACCGCCTATCTCTTTTGCTACTGGTGTGGAACGCATTACGAGGACAACGAAGATTTGGGCACCAACTGTCCAGGACTCACACGCGACGATCACTAGCTTCAGTAAATAAAAGGAAACAACTAGATTAATTACACATAATTTCACAAAATCTCTGCAGGTTTAAAATTATTTTACAATAATACGAAGTCAAAAAACAGTTAGCGGTGTATCTGGTTCGGTGAAATGCGTATAGGCGAGTTGGAATCCAGCGAGTGGGAGCTACAAGCGACCCTCCAGTTTCTGTATCAGATCGTGGGTCCTTTCGATGACACTAAAGATGAACGGCCGTTCCATGGGATCGGTGCGCAGCATGTAGTTGATAAGTTCGTGCATGTCCTGGAAGAATAATAGTATTTAAACAAATAATTTTGCTAAAGTGGGGGATAATATTCTACCTCTGTGTAGATGGAATCCTCTGGAATGTTTAGGTTACCGCTAAGCACAGCCAAAGCCACGCTGTCGCCTCGCTCGTAGACGGGATCGTAGGGTGAGTTAAAGTAGCACATTGCATATAGCACACAACCAAGACTCTAAAATAGGGATTAAACAAAGTGAGTAAGTAAAAAGTTCTAAGCCACTCCTGTGCAATTTGTGTTACCCATATATCTGTTCGCTCGTCAATGGTGCAGTACGTTTTCACGGTGAACAGCTCCGGAGCCCGGTAGACAATGGAACTCCTCTCCTCGGCCTCGTCCTGCAGCCGCTGGGCATCCGTCTGGCCGACGATCTGCAGCCGGGCTTCCGTCATGGAGCCGAGATCCACAATTATGGGCTCAAACGAGTCGGACAGGCAGATGTTGGCCGTCTTCAGATCGCGGTGGGCCAACGGCACCGGCTTGGCCTCGTGGATGGCCTTCAATCCCTCGCAGACGCCCAGGAAGATCTGCAGGATCTGCGCCTCGGGCATGTGGTCCTGCTTCCGCGACCTCAGCTGCAGGTGGTCGGCCAGAGATCCGTGCTTGTAGTAAGGCAGCACGATGTACAGGGTGCTCGTTGTGTTGATGACGATGTCCGCCTGGCCCTTCAGCTCGTAGTCCACCACCCGTATGACGTTTTCGGAGTCGATTTTGCGACAGTTTTCGATTTCCCGCAGCGCTATATTCTGGTCGTCGATGCTGTGGCAGGTGATGCGCTTTATCGCGTAGCTGCGTCGCGTGGAGGCGTTTTCCCCAAGGTCGATCAGACTGAAGCCCCTGCACAGACACCCAGAGATTAGATATTCCGGAGGAGATAGTGGAGCTTATGTGGTACAAACCCGGTCGCCAGCCTGTCGCGGATTGTGTACCGCGATCCGTTGATGTTTAGGGTCTCCTTCCTGCAGAAGCAGCCGCGTTTCATGATCAGCGTCCAGCCTATACTCTGCATTTTTCTTAAATTATTCTACGGACTTTAAAAACTTTAAGCCTAACAACTAGTTTAATTCATGTACAAAACCTAAATAGAAAACAGAAAGCTGAAGTGCCATGTTTATGCGGCGTAAAGCTTAAGATGATTGCTGATTATGAATTGCATGGTGGATTTCATTAGGTTAGGAAGTGCGTTTAAGCCTAAAATAACGTTGTATACATATTTTTCAGTTTCTCTTAACATTTCCTAATTAGTATGTATTATATAGTTATTATAATATGTACAAAATTAAGTGAATTCCCGATAAGGTTACCGCATAAACACAGCTTTCCCTGCCCACTAAACAGCTGATTAAAAGACAGGCGTGTTATGCCTGCCATGTGGCCATTGGCGTTGCCACCTAGTTGAGAATGGTTCTGCGGTTGCGAATTTCTTCTTGTCGAGAACATCACTTTGCATTTATTTAATTTAATCAATTACAACCATGGAGGACGAAGCTTGGCAGGATCTTGTGGGCATCAGCGCCGATCCGCCCGATCGACGCGACAAGTGCGAGAAGTGCAAGTGAGTGGTAAAGCAGGGAATCCCCCACAAAAATCTCTTAATGATCATGATGAAATTTTTCGCAGACGACCCGCGGTGGTTTGCTGGTGTCCTGCACTGCCGCATCCACCAGAGGCGGTGGCCTCGCAGATTGTGATCCTGCAACATCCCGCCGAGGAGAAGAGATCGTTGCGCACAGCTCTGATGCTCCAGTTAGGCCTGGAGCCGGGGAAATGTGTGGTCTACAAGGGCAAGCGTTTTCCCAACAAAAACCACGCTGACCTGCAGGGGATTCTCGACTCGCCGCAGACGCTACTCCTGTACCCCAGCCGGGATTCGGTACCGCTGGAGGAGGTGGACCACAGCGCCGGTCCCTACACCCTGGTGCTCATCGACGGCACCTGGCCGCAGGCCAAGGCAATCTACGCCAGCAGTCCTGCGCTGCACCGCCTGCGGCAGGTGAAACTCATCGCGGTGGGCGTCAGCGACTACATCATCCGCACCCAACCCACGGAGGGATGCCTCAGCACCCTGGAGACGGCGGCCCAGTGCCTGGCCGTGCTCGAATCCCGGCCAGAGCTGCGACAAACGCTCGTGCGACCCCTGCACACGCTCTGCCAGTTCCAACTGGACAACGGGGCCGTGGAGCACCAGTCCAAGGAATTCCTGCTCAAGAACAACCAGTACCCCAAACCAATTGGCAAGCGGCTGAGCCGCCTGCTGAGGAACACCACGTGCGATGGCAGCGAGGATACGTGATAGTGGGAGCAGGAAAACAAAGGAGCAGTTGCTTGTGCTAGTGCATTTGTCGTAGCAATATTTGGTTTTGTAATGCTAATATTATAATTTTCTACTAATTAGTCCAAAATGCTGACTTTTTGTGATACTCAAACGGTGGGCTTGTTCCTGGCATCCGTGAGGGCTCTGATGAAGACGCACTTGACGATGGCATAGCCACGCATGCAGGAATTCGTCTCGTCCTCTAATAATAATAGATTAAAGATTTTGTTTGTAATTTAAATACTCGTCCTCCTTGGGACACTCACTGCCTTCGGCCTCGCAAGCCTCAATGGAGTCACCGGTGGCTGGCCAAACATATTTGCGCACCAGATCCGTATTCAACTTATAGTCCGTCATCAAACCGGACTTTTCGAAAAAGCAGTTGAAGTAGCACTGCAAGGACTGCGTGAGAATGCGGAGGTATTGGACTTACGAAACAAACGTACCATGCTGGTGACTTTGTCCTTGTCCTCTGGCAATTCACCCGTGCTATTAAACTGCAAGACATTGGCTGAAAGACACGATCAAAGAAGTCATAGATTTCCTTCGCTATCCCCACACTCACTCGTTGACGTTATAAAACTAGCATTGCAGTTACGATTAACCTCTTCAAAGTCTACATAGTCAGCTTCTCTTGGCGCTGGAGTGGTCGTGGATATGTCATCCACATCGCCATCGAAGCTATCGTAGTTTATAATGAAAATATCGCCATTATCCTTGGCGTGCTCCTGAAGAGCCCTGGCGCAATTCAGACTCAAGCTTAGAAAAGCAATTGCGGCAAAAGTTTTAAATAACGCGGTATTCATTTTGAACTAGCGGAATGCTTGTCGGACTTCAGTTGCTCCCCTTTTATAGTTTGCTGATATACTCGTGTATAAATACCTTCGATCGTGCCAGGCACAGTTTTACTTCCGGAAATTGAGTACCAATAAATTGGGCTTTAAATAAACTTCGGACAAAAGAAACTAATATTTCCACTGATTGGTCAATTAAAGATAATTTTTTTACCAAACTAATCTGAATAACCGCAACTCTAGCGAGATGATTAGACCACTTACCATATGGAATCATATTCTCGTCCGCACAGGCAACTCGAGCTGTGTAGAACATGGAGTGCATTTGCTTCTGCACTTCCGGATCATCGGGTACGATGTCCTGGGCAGCCACGCAAACCAGAGAAAGGACTCCGAATAGATATAACGATCGAAACATTTTGCTAGACTGACTGGTAAGTGGAATTTTGGGCTGCTTTATATACTGATTATCGCCGATCGTGCGATAAGTGTTGTCAAATTCATGAGATCGTTTGGTAGTTAAACTAAATTGTTGCACTTTAATCGAACAATAAATACATGCAATATACGCGTATACAGAAATATAGGACATCATTCATCCATGCAATTGCAAAATGAACGATAAACGAAATGTACATTGTCAATGGGTCACAAGAATTATATAGTTTAAATATAGTTGTTTAAAAGACTGACGAACGCACGCAAAATTTACATGTTCAATGGGCTCACATCAATTACGTAGTTAAAATTTTGTTTTTAATTGGTCAACTTAACGTTCGTTACAAACTTCTCTAACTCAAACTAAATGATTTGCATTTCAAATAGGGTTAATTGAAAATATCAAACTTTTATAGTCAAGTTTTAAATCAAAAGCTTACTTTAAATAAAAAAATAATTACCAAAGCAAGCAACCTAAATTTTACAAGTTTTATCGAGCTTTAATTGTAGTAAAATGTGCAGTTAAAGAAGTTCGACTTTATATTCAGTGGGTCACAGTAGTTAGTTTGAGAATAGCCTGTTAACTTATAGAGAACATTAATGGAGATTGCGCAACGCGGTGTGCCTAGAGTGAGAAGCCTTCGGTTCGGTTTTAAATTGGATTAAATTAGATTAGACCAAGGTAGTAAATAGAAAGGTTTAGTTTTGAATCTGAGGGGCCTTAACAATAATTTCGCTTAAAATTTTACTTGCAGTAATTTTCGCTTGGATTCTGATTAAATTACTCTATGCAACGTCCACGTCGCATCCACGCGTCAGACCTTGGCGCCCCAGGCCCTCTTCAGCAGGTAGGCGCCCTTCTCGGCGATCATCACGGCGGGTGCGTGGGTGTTCCCCGAGGTCACCTGGGGCATGATGCTGGTGTCCATCACGCGGAGTCCCCGAATGCCATGGACCCTCAACTCGTGGTTGACCACTGCCATGGGATCGTGGCTGGGACCCATTTTGCAGGAGCCCGCCTGGTGATTCTCCGGTCCCGTATTCTGCCGCACGGCGCACTCCCAGTAGGCATCGCTGCCATAGGCGGGTGCCTCGCATCCCTTGACCACCGTCTTGTCCAGCCGCATGCCGTATTGCTTCAGCGGCGTTGTTTGCGACAGCCGGATGGCGAACTTGATGCCCTCCACCAGCGTCTTCACATCCCGCTCGTCGGTCAGGTAGTTGGCCACAATCCGTGGCGGCTCCAGAGGATCGGCGGAGCGCAGGCCAATGAATCCACGGGATCGGGGATTCAAAACAGCTGGGAAGATCTGTATTGACCGGGAGTTATTCGAGAGCAGCTCGCCCACTTGTCCTGTGCGAGCACAATTGGCCAGGTAGCCGCCAAAGAAGAACTGCAGATCGGGAGTGTTCGGCCTTTCAGACCAGCGGGTGGTCAGCTTTCCGGTTACATCCGAAATTCCTGTGCCGGACATGAGGCCGTCGCGGAACAGCAAGTACTCCATGGCTGTGGCCCAATTGAGAGGTGATGTGTCCGCATCGTCGATGAAGAAGTTGGTAAAGTAAGCCACATGGTTGTGCAGGTTCTTGCCCACACCAGGAAGATGGTGCACGGTCCTCACATTCACCTGCTGCAGCTCGTCCTTGGGACCCACACCACTGAGGAGCAGGATCTGGGGGGAGTTAACGGCTCCGGCACTCAAAACCACCTCCTTCTTCACCAGAATCTTGCGCATGCTACCGAATTGGTCGCTTACTTCCACACCCAACACATTCTTGGTGTGCTGGTGGATGAGGATCTTGGTGGCCGTGGTGTTCAGCAGGATGTGCAGGTTATTGCGCATGCGGGCCGGTCGCAGGAAAGCCCTAGCTGAGCTGTATCTGATGCCATTACGGGCCGTCATCTGGGCAATCATGAACCCGGTGGAGTTCTGACCATTGAGATCCTGCACAGAGAAGCCCATCTCCTCGGCGGCCTTGAGAATGGCGTAGGATAGCGGCGGATTGTACGGGAACTTGCCCACGGGCAACAAGCCGCCCTTGCCGTGATATTCCGTGCCCACGTCATCCAGATTCAGGTTATCCTCCGACTTCTTGAAGAACGGCAGCACGTCGTTGTAGGCCCAGCCTGGATTTCCTTGGGCTGCCCAATCGTCGTAGTCCTCGCGGTTGCCTCGTATGTACATCATGCCGTTCAACACCGATGTTCCACCAAGGACCTTGCCACGTGGCCAGTAGCAGCGCTGCTCATTCGAGGACAGACAGGCCATTCGCTCCGGTTCCGTGTTGAAGCGGTAGTCGATGTCGCTGCCAATGAAGTTGAGGAACATCGAGGGAATCTGGGCACCCACAGGTTCATCGCCCCCTGCAAAAAGCCAAAAGGTATCGTAAGTATGTTATAAACACGTATATTATTTTTGCTGTGAAGAATGGTAATTTATGAGTTAGTTGTCTGACGAGTATATATTTAGTTTGCATACAATATACTTCGATTTAAGATTGAACTAAGATGTATTTAATGCACAGTCATTGCAAAATCCTAGGTCTATAAATTAAATTAGCAAATTATAAACCGTTAATGGCCATCAATAAAAAGTTTTGTTTAATTTATAACTTCTTCCACTTATATTGCGATTACAATATTATGCAATTGGATTCATATACTTTAATATACTTATTTTTGTATAACTACCCAAAACTTTCGAAATATTTGCATACAACTAAATAATCATCTGCCATTAGTAGGAAGTTGCAAAATTTGTTCAATTTAAATGCTAAATTCCTACCGCGTAAGGTAATAGATATGCACCTATCGACAAACACTAATACACTTCGAATAACTGGTCGTGAGTCTTGATTAATAGACCCTAACTGCCCATTAAGAAGCAGTGCAAACCAAACTCCGATTCAACCTTCAGCACTTGGGTGGGCAGCACCATTTGGGTTTGGGACATTTGAGGCACGCTTTTGCTTAACCCATGGCAATCCATTATAATTAGTATATTGGCTCAATCAGCGTTCTAGAATTTCCGTTGCGCTGAGCCCACGACTCTAGTTAATTAAATCGATTCAAGTGGAATCTTTGATTGCTAACCATAGCGTGGGAGCCGAACAAATTTTACCGCAAAATCCCGAAGTAATAATTTAACTTGGAATTTCAACAAAGGAAAATTAAACAAAATAGCCAAAATTAAGAAAGAAATACAAATACCGGCGATACTGTGATTCATTGAGTACAAGCGTTATATATGTTCCCCAAATTGTTAATAACTTGTTCTGCAGCAACTCCTAACATATGTCTGTGTCGCGCAAATAAAAACAAATGCGTTTCATGGTGTTTACGCGACGGGATAAGAGAAAACAATTAACACCGGGAATACGCATTCTAATTAGCTTAGAATAAAAGCTTTAGCAAATAAACAAGCTGCAGTCTGGAGCAAGTCGAACCTCTTCTCATAAATATAAGCCGCATAACTCTGCCAAAAATATTTGATTTTATTATGAGTGCATGATTTCTCCAAGTGTGTCGAATGATTTGCGAGAAGTACAATGTTAGAATTTACTTTAAAGTAACCCGGTTCTAGCTCAGATTTAAAACACGTGCTGGGCGAAAAGTGTAGCCATTAACCCGAGGCGAGGTCATTCCAGGGGTCAGTGTGCCAGGCACCGGGTTGACTTCTTCAATCAAAGAAACCTCTTAGTCTTTTTTCCGGCATGCTTTTGGCATTGACTAAATTTGACGAGTTGCATGTCTAATGTCAAGCAAGAATTAAGCTTCTGCGGCTTAGTCGAAACAAAAGCCACTTTAGCCGGGAGCTATCTGCTCATAGTGATATGGTCGTATAATAAGCCAGGTAATGGCCAAAGCTAATTGCACTTCAGCCCCAGAGGCATTGTTGTATAATTAACGCCAACGCATTGACAACTTCGAGTGTGTTTCTCTTTCGCGCTTTTCGGCTCGTAATTAGTGTAATTAGTGACGAGGCGTAAAAAGTGTCGCTATAAAAACAATTACTTTGCGCAAAAATTGGAAAACTAAGGGAGACCCACAAAGTAAGCCAAGCAGCGCCGAGAACGCTGATAGGGCAGTTTTAATAGATCCATTAGAAGGCTTTCCCAGGCCTGAAGATATTTAAAGTGATTTCCCAAGCACTTTGTCCTCTTATTAAGACATTAGTGATAATGGAGACACAGTAATGATTGATGAAGTTATTTTTTAGCTGTACGAAATATAATAGATGCCGTTCGAAGTAGGGCTTGATAATTGATTTCTATGATGTTGAGTATCGGCAATTGAATATATTTGTTGTTTCCAATACTGATAATTTTTAATAGATCGCCATAAGCAAGCAACTCATGCTTTAGAAAGTAAATAAAATATATTTAAAATAAAGAAAAAGAGTTTATCTCATCTTTGTAATGCATAAATAAATACAGTCAAATGAAACCCTGATTCGCTCACAGAATTTAAATTTATTTATTTATTATAAAGTGTCATTAATGTTAATTTATTTATTTTAAATATATTAAATATGTGAACTCCGCTGGTCTAATGGATATTTGGCATTATATTATTCGTTTAATGGGCTATAAACAAGCCACTCGTGTTCCAAAAAATATGATAAGTAATTATACATTGCCAAATAGAGGATTAAGCAGAGTTCGCGACATACAGGGCAATGGAAAGCACTGCATTAAATATCAAAACCAATAATCAGAATTTAATACAGTCGGAAGACACCCTTAACAATATTTATTAATAATCCGGTTTTATAGTTATTCATTTTATTCTTCAAGTCACATTTTTCTTGTAATTTTATGTTTGAAATATATTTAATATGTGAACTCAGGTGATCTAATTGATATTTGGCATTATGTTATCTGGTTGCTATAAAAAAACAACTCGTGCTACAAAGAGTATATACGATAAATTTAAAATTATGCAGTGCTAAAAAGCCTCTTAAGCTGAGTTTGCCGCATATTTGCGCCTAATTAAGGCAAAGTGAATGCACTGCATTGAATATCGAAACCAATAATCAGAATTAAATACACTTGCCAGACACCTACATTTGCTCACAGAGATTCACGTGTAGTGGCTGAATTGTTATTCATTCATAAAAAATGCTTTGAACAACAATAAACCAAGTCAGGCAAAACGAAACGAAAAAATATATTTTCAGGCTTTGTAAGCGGGCTAACAGCTTGAAGCGAAGCCAAATCCTATATAGAGGGAAGATATTTGCATGGCCTAAGATTGCCTTCGGGCCGAGGTGGCAGCTCGTTTAGTTTACATAATGCTCGTGGCAGTTGCGGCTGCTTCTTTGCCGCCGAGTCTTGCCCAAGTGGCATTAGTGTTGCCGCCATTGTTGCAGTTGCTGCCGCTGTTAAGCTTCAATTACTTCTAAACAAATGCCACATAACGTGCCTCTAATTGCCCGTGAGCAGCGTGAGTTTACGTGGCGGCAAATATATATATGCCGCTGGGGCAACATCCCTTACCGGCTTCGATCAGCAACACCTTCCATTGGGGCACCTCGGAGAGTCGGGAGGCCACCACAGCTCCCGCTGAGCCGCCGCCAATGACAATGAAATCGTACTCGTAGTCCGGCTCCGATCGAAACTGTAATATAAGTGGAAATAGTTTGTGGCTTGGATAGCCGCCTTTTGTGGCCATAAGTAATTAAAGCTTACCCTAGTGCTTGCCCGGCCGCAGGGATCCTCCAGGTCACACTGGGAGCGAATGAATACCTCCAGGAGGCCCATGAACAGCATGAAGGCACTGCCACCGCATGTGGAGGCGAGGGTGGGTCCAGTGGGCACGCCCACCAAACAATCGCAGGCTGAGGGACTGGCGGACATGTTAATAGACTGAAATATTTGGGAAGAAGATCAATATTAGCGTTGATCACAATAAAAAAGTAAAAATTGTATATTTTGTAGTGGTTACATAAAGTATTTATTGGCTCTTTAATTTTATAAATTGGTCTAACTAATTTTTTTTTTTTTCAAGTTTTCAAAAAATATATTAAAGAAACAAAAGACTTAGAACACAAACTTTTTTAAAATTAATGTTTCCCTCTAAAAGTTCGTGTTCTAAGTCTTTCGATTTCTTTAAATTGTTAACAATTGAGTTAGACCAAAATACACACGAGTAAGAAATCTTAATATAATTAACTATTAAATCAGAAAATAATTTTCCAATATATAAATAATGGCTTTAATTACCTATTTGCTCATTTAATTTTTAATTTGCAGTTGATTAAACTCAAAGCCAAGGGGCAAAGTCATAAAATTTTTGAAAACCACAACATGAACTTTTGTTTAACCTTGCCCATTGAGACAAAGACTAAAAATTATCAAAGTAATGCTCCAGCAGTAGTACTGTAATTAATAAGAGTACCCACCGAGACAATGGGCGTCGTCGTCTGTCTCAATGCACACCGAAAAGCGGCAAAAAAACACAGCCGAAATGAAATTGAAATCAAAAAGATACTTTTTATATCTTGGCCATTTGGCAAACAAACGGCAACTGCCGCCAGCATTGGCAATTACCGAAAGGCCAAACAGACAAATGGACGGACAGAAGTCATAGCTCATCATCCGAGCTTGGCTTTTGTTCAGTGGGCTTCTGCTTCTGCTGCATTGTTTCACATGACCTTAGCCCCAAGCGGCCAAAAATGTCTGGTTGGCTTCTCTTTTCTTTCCTATTTGAAATTTCGAAATTGCCCAAAACAGAAGCAATGAGGCTGGATTGAATTACGGTAGCCAGCGACGGTTGAGTAATGTGCAATATAATTATGTCATTTGTTCGTCTCGTTGGTGGTCTATTGATGACCGCCGGGGTTGAACAGACTGACTTCAAAGTTACTCTGAAGGCGGGGAAACGTGATCCGTTCTAAGCTTCTTTTATGTGGACGAGAAATCTTAATTGTTTACCTCTAACATTGCTCTTCACACTCCTTTTTGGGCGGCTAATTAGCGCCCAAAATAAAACCGAAACCGAACCGATCCCCGAAATCAGTGCATTTTTGGAAGATGCTGACAACGCTTTTGACCTCAATTAACTCGAACAGCTTGAGGCAATCAAATTGCAATTTGTATCCATCCAAAAACAGAAAACCGAAAAACAAAGCAAAAAGGTAATTGAAACAGAAACAGAAACTGAAGCCAAAAACCGAAACCGAGAGTGAAACAAGAGAATCACCTAAGCGGAGATCGAGAAGATCATGCAATTGCTACAGTTCGTCTGTTTTTGGGTGCCACAATGGGGCTAGCATCTGACATTTGGAACACGATTTTTCATTCATTTCAATTGCATTTTGGTGTCTTTCGCTTTTAAAGTTGAAGGATGCCACGAAAGTGAATCGAAGCTTGGGCAAAGGTAAAAACCGCCAAAACAAAGTCGGAGAACATACGCAACTCACGCGAGCGTGGAAAATCGAAAGAGAGGCAGTTGACCTCGCAGCCAGTTTTCCAGCAGGCTCGTAAAAGCCAGGCAACAAAAGTTGCAAAAGGCGAACTTCAAACGCCAAGAAAAACGCGTGCAAAAGTCGTGCAGCAATCAGAAAATTAAAAGTTGTTCAGGCAAGTTTTGCGTTGCAAACGGATTTTGGTTCACTTCTGCGTGGCGACTCATGGTAATTTGTGGGAAAATGGTAGGGAAAATGGTAGTTCTGCAAATTGCTCTATATTTTCCTTAGCTGATTTTTTGAGTTATTGATGTCGTTTCAAAATGCATAAAAATTCGGAATAAAAAAGAGAGACAGTATTCCGATTAAATTAAAAAATAAATAAATTCAAAAAGGGAAAGTAGTATAAATTTTACAATTTTTATAAATGACAAAAAGAATTGTTGTTTTGACATTTAAAATCAAAATATAATCTTACAGATAATGGCGCTTACTATTCTAAAGTGTGGTCAAATAAAACAATTTTTATAATTATCATAATCGCAGATCAATAAGGCCGCCAATACTATGGTTGCCTTAAAAACACAAAAAATACGGAATCTCAATTTTATGCACAATCATTAGCTGACTTGTTATTTAATGGTGAGAATATGTTGAAAATTACCTAATCAGCCAACGACATTTTCTCTCGTTATCATCAGATTATTCACACTTCCTGCGTAACCTATCTGACAAGATTATCAATGGAGTTGTCATAATTACAGCTTGTTTTTTATTTACAACTTTATCGGATGTAAAGCATGGTGCATAATGTCTTGTGCACTGAAGCGAACCGTGTGTCGATTAAAACCGACTCTAGTTGCAGTTGTCTTCTTGTGGTTTGTTTTGTACTCGCACTATAGCTTCATTGATATAGCTTGGCATTGTCTTCATTGCTACGTTTGAAGGTTTCTTTGAGCTGTCAGTCAGCCAGTCAGTCAGTCAGTTAGTCAATCAAGCAGGCAGTCAGTGCGAACAATACCGCAGATAGAGGCTTGGTTTTGGGCCTTGTTATACAGTTATCTCGTTGTTGCTTCTGCCATATGTTTAGGCATAGTTTTTCGGGTGCTTATTAATGTGGGAACTGTGCATTTATTAGAATAATAATCATAAAGTAATGCAATTTATGCGTGCCACTACAAAGGCGCCAGATAAAGCCATGTGATTTTGAGTGAATTGTGTAAGGTCCACCGGTGGATGGGGTGGGATCTGATCTGGTCTTTGTCAGAAGATTCGAGTATGGGCTTTAAAACTAACTAAAAAGTTATTTTCTATTCTATAATAAAAAAACAAAATTCTTCAGGAATTTTTCAGATACTTTAAAGTTTTTTAAAAAGTCGATAAAATATACATTTTTAACTATTATTGTTATTTTTATAAATGCATAAATGGTAAAGCGCTTACCGCTTTTTCAAATTTTTTCCTATGTGATTGTGCTAATCTTTATGTTCGCAAATTAAGTAAATTGAACAAATTGCATAAAGACTCTCAAAGCTTTTAAAGAATGTCATTGGGCATATTAATCACTTCATCAAATTACGTCTTGAAAACCCATACACAATTCAAAAAATTTTCAAAAATTTCACATCAATTTGAAGTCAATTTCAGGCAGCAATTTTTAACTTCCCCGGCTGGTAAAAAACCGCATAATAAGCGACTAAAAACTATAACAAATTTAATGCTCAACACATTGCGGCAAATTGGAGTCATTAATTTGGCCAATGGACCTCCAACTTTGAACGGGAACGAGTTTGCTTTGATTTCGCGGTTTTACTTCTTTGCTCGAAATCGAATAACGGTAAACGCGCTGAAGAGGAGGCAAACAAAAAAGATAGAGACACAGATAAAATAAAAACGAACCATAAAGTTTTTCACGTTCGGGCGTCAAATTGACAAGCGGCACCAAGCTGGCAAGGTGTATGAATAATTTACAGAAAAGCCCGGTGTACGCAAAAAGCAAACAGCCAGTTGAAATAGATTTGGGAAAAAGTTAATAAATAAATATAGCCATATGGGGGAACTGGGGGGATCTGGATCCAAGAGCGAGGCCATAAATTAACGCCGGCATCGCGGTCTGCAGAGGATAACGAGCCGGCAAAGCAAACAGAGCCCCCGGCATCCCCCCATCGATATTACGCAGCCATCTCCGGCGCTTTTGGCCATTAGAAATTGGCCAAGAAACCAGCGAGTGTGGCAAACTAAAGCAACTGGAACTGGGGCCAAAGCTGGAAAGCTAGCTGGAGACTGCAACCTGCAACTGCAATGGCAACTAGCAACTGGCAACTGGCGGCAATTGCACGCGCAGCAAAACTGGAGGAAACTGCCGCGCAATGTCTGGCCAACTTGGCCAATGTCTGACTCAAAGTCTGAGTGGCCGTTGTTGTTGCCGGTCTCATGGCTCTTTGGCCATCTCTTGACTTCCTATTTTCACTTTCATTCGTCATGCGCGTGGCGGCAGATAGAAATGCAACAACACGGCGGCAGACTGCAAACCCACTTTGCTCTTCTTTTACCTTTTATTTCTATACCCTTGCTGTGGGTCATGTGTGTTAGGTCAAAGAATTAAAATGCACATGAAACAACTTCATTCTTTCGAGAAAATTTTTCACAATTATTTCAGAGTATTAAAAGTATTTTTTAAAAATATAAACTTTTAAGTTTCCATATTATATTTTATATTCCAATTATGAAAACAAAATAATTGTAGTCCTTTCTGTTCCTTTCATTTAAAATAGAAGTGTAAAATTGATCAACAATGATCAATGACATAGAATGTCACAAAACAACTTAAACTAACACAGGTAAGCGGACACAATTTTTATAATGACATTATCCCAAAAAAAATTCAACACAGCTAGAACAAAGTAAAAACCAAAAAATATATGAAACTGGGAGTTACCACTTATTTAAAAATTATTTTGCTTATTTTAGTTTTCACGATTAATATATGAATAATATTGTTTTGTTAGAGAATTTACAAAATTGCTATATAAAGTTAAGATTCCACTTGTTTCTTGTTACTTTTGCGTACTTCACGTTGGATTTCTTTGCCTTTGCTTGTGCCTCATCCAGTTGTCAACGCGACATCAACAATGTGCGAATGTTTTGTGTGAGAATTCGCTGGCAGTTGTTGGCGCTGCAGTCGATGTTGTTTTTGTTTCCATCTTGTCATGCCTCATCACGTAATTGTTAAATGTTAGTGGGCAATATTTAGTTAATGCACTTCTGCTGACGCCGGTCAGGTTAACGGTTTGACGTGTTTGCTTTGAAAAAGATTCCAGGCATTTGTTGGATAACTATCTACTTAAAGATTCTTCTATAGCTAGCTTGTAGTTCCCCAGACTTCGCAAGCTTTGCAGGTTTTCAACAATCGGTTGCTCAGCCTCAATATCGTTAATATTGATAAAAATCTATAAGGCATCAGCGAAAAACAATAAAATCGGAACTCGTAAACATCTGCATGATGGATAATTGCACTTTTATTTGTTTTCCGTTGTTTATTATTTCCAGAGAATTGCACAGTATAATTCATTGAGATGGCATTGACCGGCACGACTGACAATGGATTTTTCCACCAGAAACAAAAACGGAAATACCACACAAAACCTATAAATTTCCCATTTTTCTTCAAGTTTCGGTAGAAAGCTGAACAAAAAACAGTTTTACATAATTTATTTAAATTTTGTTTTTTGGCCGCCTGGGCGATTGTTGCACGAAGTACGTGATTGAATATTTACAACATTTTGTTGCATTTCGCTGGGCAAAATGTTGCGGCAACTGCATGTAATACCCTTGGCGTTGCCAATTACGTGGCACTCGTACTGTTCGTACTCGTACAATTAAGCTTCGAGTGAAATTCTGCAATTGCGCTGCGCATCATTCCGGCGATTGTCAAAGACCCCAGATGAGAGTTGGCCGGGCTCAGTGCCTTGATTGATCGCTGGTTACGTGCTGGATAAGGCAAAAAAGCCGCAGCCACATCAGCAGCATCAACAGCATCTATTCGGCGGCCCGAGGCGGATGCAAAAAAAAAGAAACAAAAATATAAGGTGGGCAGCTCGGCTCCGAACAACGCTGTTTCAGGAGCTGCCTGTCAACTGGGTTGCCATTTCATGAGTTCGGCTCTGTGGCCCGCAGACAGTAACAACACTTTTAGTTTCATTGATAAATGAGTGAATTTGTTAACAGGGTTGTGCTGTAATTGATGTTTTGCCGGAATTTCTCACGCTTGTCGCTAGGATAAGATTTTGTGAGCCGCCCAGGGCCTAGCGATTGTCGATAATGAGCTGATGCTTTGGTTGAGAAATCCGCAAAGCAGATATATCTCAGCTGCCATTATTACAAATCAAAAGTGTTTATAAGTATAAGAGTATTTTTAAAGAGAAGAAAGTTTCGAATTGATTTTGCTTAATATATATAAAATAGGATTATTTATTTTTATACAGCTAAATTTCATTTTAAAATTCATTATTAGGTCATGGGTATTTTACATTTTTATGATATTTTTAAGAATGTTTAAAATAGTTGAAATAATTTTATTTATTTTTTGTAAACAAGCATATAAAACGCAAATTGTTTAAATATTTGATTAGTGCCATACAAATTTAGGATCTGAAGTTAAAAGCTGAGCCGCTACATTTTTACCAGTGTATATCAATCTTTTCTCAATATGCTAATTTCGCTTCACAGGAAACTTCCCCGAAAAGCATTCAAAATTTGTCCCATTTTGAGACTTATGTTGGTTCACGTTTCGTGGCCGCTTTGAACTGGCAATGTGCCATAACGAATTGTAAACAAATAAAGCCAAGCCAAAGACCATTTAAATGGCAAATGGCAGAGACTTCGGGAACGGCGGGCCTCATGCTGCAGAAACATTGAATGGACGAATGCCAAAATGCCCAAAAGGGGAGCAGACAATCGCGAGGCAAACAAACAACAGGCAGCCAAAGTCAATCGATGTCTCTGAAGAGGAGTAACAAAAGCCAAGCAACAGGCTTTGGCAAACTTTAAACTGTTATTCGAATTTTCTCTCATTTTTTGGGCCCAGCAAAATGTTGGCAGCAGATAAAGCGGCGACAGCACGCTTCCAAAACATGGAGACATACAAATTTTTATCTGCCGCTGACATTTGAACATGACTTTAAAAAATCTACGGGACTTGTGTGTGCAAACGGTTTTTGTGTGTGGAGTCTCTGAAGTTTTTGGCCAACAACTACAGAAAAGAAAGCTAAGCGTGGGTGTCATTCGGTCAAAGCACCCTGATCCCATTGCCCCACCGATTCCCGATTGCCTCCTAGACACCCAAACATCAGTACTTTTTCATATTCGCGGGCCACTGTTTGCCCTCAATAAAATTTGATGGATCATCGCCGCCTACTTTAATTTGCTCTCGTCAATAAAAAGAAGTACAGAAGAAAACAAGCGAAATTAAAAGGCCTTAAAACGAACATCGAATCCGATATGCAAATCAAGAAATTATCTTTGCAGGCGAACTCTTTTTTAATGGGTTCAGGCGTAAATGCCTGAGCACGCTTAACTCGGAATTACTTGTAATTTGTTGAATTGTTTGGAAGAAATGTTGACGTTGTTTGGCTTTTGAGCTTTTGGTGAATTTTTGTAATAACATTGAATTTTTGGGAATCACTTTTTGCTGCAATATTTTGGCGGTCTCGCCATGACTTCAATTTCAATATGTTTACGTTAATTATTACATTGCATAAAGAAAGCTTTATTTTGTACACATTCCGCTTAACATTTGATTTTAAGTTCAATGCATTTAGAAACAAATATTTGACTCATTTCTTAACTTTCAGGTGCTGCTATTTGTTCTGGGGAATTCGGTTTTTGTTATGACTAATCATTGATTATGATTATTCCCATAAATGGGTTTTTTTAAAAAGATAGATTCGTGAATATTTTTGGGAATCACTCCAAAAATTCTAAAGAATTTCTTACTAAAAAAAAAACAACACATTAATTTATTTCAAAATGTTGGCTTGTTTACCTGATGATTTCCTCTTCTGCCTTCTGAAAACCTAGCGCCTAACGGATATTTCCATTCAGTTCGGAACCAAAGACGAAATGTGCTCACCATAAATAATCTCAAGTAGTTTGTCTTTTACAATACCACCCGTTTCCGTCAAAACGAGGTGGCTAATAAGCGGTGGAATTGAGGGAGAAACCGGGTTAATTTCCTATTACTGTAATGTACGTTTAATGAACTGACATCGTATAACACCTTAATGTTGGTACTTTTTCAAACGAAAAACACACTGTGTAATTGAGCACAAAATCGAACACATTAGTGGTCAAATGGCAGACAATGGGTGACCGTTTTGTTATGTGTGGAAAAAGAAATATAAACCAGTAACTTAAATTAGAAACGTGTCTAGAGCAGAAGTCGTGAGGCATAGTTACATTGTTGTGGGCCACAAAAACAAACGAATCGAATTGGAGCTATTGCAAAAAAAGTGCAGCACAATTTATCGCCGTGAGCCATCAGAAGACCAAACAAAGTTCCGTTTCTTAGGCTTATGACAATGGCAAATTTTTAGCAGACTTCGGGCCACAAATCTGGCCAAATCTGTTGAGCTTCCTCAATGCCAGAAACGGACATAGCGGATTTTTGGGTTGTGAAAAACCGAAAAGCCAGAAAATAATAGAAATAAAAGCGATTGCATCAACTTACGATCGTTGAGTCCAGTGGTTTGGTGTCTCGTTTCCTTTTACGTTTTAAATATTGAATTAATTGTTTATTCCTTATTGAAAATGCCTCGAGGAAAATTGCTCAATGGCCCGAGGAGGATAAAAACTTGTGTGCTATTAGGTTAAAAACGTTTTTTCTAGCAGCTTTTATTGAACACAAAAAAACACTAACTGCGGCTTACAATGGTTTTTAGTCACTGCCTTCTAGGGTTTTTGTCAGTTACCCCCTTGAGCACTGCACTAAAATGGGGTTTCTGGTGGGTCTATTAACTTGTTTGAACTGCGCGCAGACGCAGAGCGTTACCGACTCAGCTTCTGGCCAACGGGCGCGAGTCTTTTTAAACTGGCCAAAAGCTTCAGCTTGACGGTAGTCAGCTTTAAGCTGGCCAGAAAGCTGCCGCTCTCCGAAACTTGGCCTAAACTTCAAGCTTTTTGGTTTTGCTAGTGATGAGGGTATGCATATGGTCTAATTTTTAACGAAAGTATTTTAAAGGCTCTTTAAAATAATTTAAATTTGATAAATTGAAAACAAATTCTAAGATGTATTAATCATTTCGTTTTGAAGTGTTGTAAAACCCTTGATCAACCACCCTTGTTTTCGGTTAAGACGTCACAGGTTTCTTCAACCACCGCTCCCAGTTAGCCAGCCCACACAAAAAGCTGTTAACTTTGTTGTGCGCCTGCGCAGGTTTAACGATTTACAAGTCAAGCGAAGAAGCCACTGGCAAAATAAAGTCAAACGGCTGCTGAACTGCGTTGTTGAATTTTTTTCCACAAATCGTGGGCTTGAAAAGTTTTTAATTGTTGGATATTAATTGTGAAGTTTTAGATACGCAAAAGTAAGACAATTTTACATTCAAATAAATAAGATCTAAGCTCGAAATTGTTAAAGAGAAATCCCTCAGAATTACCGAGAAGCTGCTACAAAGTAATTGCTTACATGAAGCTTTGAAGCTGCAACAAACAATAGATACAAAAACTAAAAGTGATACTAATAGTGCTAGTTTCGTCAAAGAACCTAGGGGATTGTTTAGATAAACGATATAGGAAAGAATATTCTTCTGAGACATATAAACTTGGCTTCTGAAGGTGGAAAACCTAGCGAACTTCGTGTGCGTGTGTGCGGGGGCTGTGATGATTCATTCGACCCCAGACGAGCACCCAGGGCTCGTGTGTGTTTGTGACTCTCCGCTCTCTTCCTAGAAACTGTATGTCTGTGAGTGTGTGTGTCCTCAAGTAATGCAAATAACAACAAAAGCAAACCGTCAGCATAACCTGAGCAGAACACGGGCACCAGCTGCCCACGAAAAAAGCCTCTAGCATACATTTGTGCGCAAAATCGATGTACAAAATTTTTCACGTGCCACAGAAAGTTGCAAACATTGAAAGACAGTTACCAAAAGTTTCCCTCCTTACTTACAAATTGTGACTAATTGTTATTCCACACAGCTACGAGGAACATCGAGTGGAAACGTGCTGAGAGCGGCGAAGCCAAATCCATTAAAAATGGCTGAAGAGTATATACCAGATGTCAGCGTCATGGACACAAGTAAGTAACATATTGCAGCGGCAAATGCGACCTTTGTGGTTGATCTGTCCAATTTGCTCATTAGCAAGTTGTTCAAAGTGATGCGGAGAACTTTTTCCGAAACTTTTTCGAAGGCAATGAATAATTAATTCGGGTCTTTATGCCTGTACAAGAGGTACATCATTCGTGTGCGTCGGTTTTAATCGGGGTTTCTTTTGCCATTTTTTATATGTAGGAAAATGTTATGAAGCCTTCTTTGTGTGGGATGTAATAAAGGAGTAGTGAAAGTCAGGGTTCTGGTGGATTAATATTAACAACAAAGCAAGTTTACAAACAACACACAGCTGTTAAAAGAGAGTCTCTCTTTCCTTTTTCGCCATATTGGGTGACTAATCGCATGTAATGTTTCACAATGAGGAGAGAGTGTGGTCTAAAGTTGTTCAATTTATAGCTTTTTTACATTAGTTTAAGATTACAAAATACCAAATTGCTTTCGTAAAACCCATTGCTATGCTAAATTACCTAGATCTTTCCAAGATTCAAAGCAAATATATTTAAAAACTTATAAAATTTTAAGTAATTTTTAATAACTAATTTACAGTTTTATTGGGGGAAGTTAGATAAGTATCGATTTAGATAACATTTTTTAAGATTAGTGGATTAGTGGATTAAGTACCTTAAAAAATATATTTTTGTTACTATTGATTTTATTTTATTTAATTTATTGTTAATTTTATTGATAGTAATAATTTTTTCTTTTTTTGTACGTTTGAAATATTTATTATACCCGTTACTCGTAGAGTAAAAGGGTATACTAGATTCGTGCAAAAGTATGTAACAGCTAGAAGGAAGCGTTTCCGACCCCATAAAGTATATATATTCTTGAGCAGGGTCACTAGCCGAGTCGATCTAGCCATGTCCGTCTGTCCGTCTGTCCGTCTGTCCGTCTGTCTGTCCGTCTGTCTGTCTGTATGAACGCTGAGATCTCAGAAACTACAAAAGCTAGAAGGTTGAGATTTCCCCCACATATTCTTTGGTTTCCTACGCAGCGCAAGTTTATTTTAGCCGAGCGCCACGCCCCTCTAACGCCCACAATCGCCCACTAACGATTTTAAAATGGGTCCTGCGCCCACATCTTTAAAGATTTCCGAAAAGTATAAATGCAATTTTGTTGTGTATATTTATACCTATCGAAATGTAGAAGACATTTTTCAAATCGGACCATTCATTAAAAAGTTATACGCAATCAAAAATTATATATCTATCTCCCTCGCACTCCCTTTAGCTGAGTTACGATTATTAGTCGGGACACCAACCCGACACAGCGTTCGCACTCCCTTTAGCTGAGTGACGGGTATTAGATAGTCGGGACAACAACCCGACTATAGCGTTCTCTCTTGTTTTTTATTTAAGACATTTATTAGGAAGCTAACAATTGTAATAATCTTAAAAATACTTATTTCCAGTTGTGCCCGCTATCCTGGGACTGACCGCGGCTGCTGTCCTCTCGTCGGTGGCTTGCATCTGCGCTCGGCAGATGCGCCTCCGGAACAAGAAGCAGAGCCAGCACGACGCCTCGTTCCCCTTCCAGCCGACCCGGCGACCGACCGCCGTTCGATCGCCAAGCGGCCAGCCGCCGCACTACTTGAAGAAGTCGCCCTCGCCGACGGGCGGCAAGCAGATGGGTCTTCTGTCGCCGATGCAGGATCAGTCCACCTCCCCGATCGCCCAGCCGAATGTGAAGTACAGCGAGGAGGACGAGGGACCGCCCCAGCACCCGGAGCAGCATAATGGCAACCAACTGACCGTGGTGGACGGCAACGGTGGTGGGTTAAAGCACTCGCTCAACAACAGCCTCCACCACTCGCCGGTGGAAACGATCGCCAATGGAAGTGTGACTATTACCCTGGACGATCAGGCGCTGACCAACGGAAAGGAGCTGACCGTGACCGACCAGTATGGAAAGCTGGGCACCATCTACTTCAAGCTGCGCTACTTGGCCGAAAGGAACGCCCTGATGGTCTCCATCATCCGTTGCCGCGGACTGCCTTGCAAGGGAGGATCGGGCGGCACCGGCGACATCCCCACCGGCATGAACGGACGCACTCAGGCGGCCACCGATCCGTATGTCAAGCTGCAACTGCTGCCCGACAAGCAGCACAAGGTCAAGACCCGTGTGGTGCGCAACACCCGGAACCCGGTTTACGACGAGGACTTCACCTTCTACGGCCTCAACATGAACGACCTGCAGAACATGTCGCTGCACTTTGTCATCCTCAGCTTCGATCGGTACTCGCGCGACGATGTTATTGGCGAGGTGGTTTGCCCGTTGACCTCCATCGAGATCGGTGACATTTCCAAGGAAGCTTTGTCCATCAGCAAGGAAATTCAGCCACGCAGCCTGAAGATTCGAGCCCAGGGTCGCGGTGAACTGCTTATCTCACTCTGTTGGCAACCAGCTGCCGGTCGTCTCACCGTAGTCCTCCTGAAGGCCCGAAATTTGCCCCGCATGGATGTCACCGGGCTGGCAGATCCTTATGTCAAGATCTATCTACTTTATAATGGACAACGCATCGCCAAGAAGAAGACGCACGTGAAGAAGCGCACTCTAAGCCCTGTTTTCAACGAGAGCTTCGCCTTCGATATTCCCGCCGCTGAGGTGAGTAACCTATTAATGAGAAATTGCATCCAAATTAACATAGATTAAGTATTCCCTATTAACATAAATTGTCTATAAAAAAACTTTATCAACTACTGAACATGCCCCACTGCGGCACTTTACCATAGAACATAAAAAAGGAACCGTTCGTGCTAACGAAGAATGTGTCTCTTTAGGTTTATATACAAAAAATCGACTTCTGAAAACTCGAAATATTTAAGATGGTTTTAAAAATAATTTCAAAAACTCGTAACTCGTCTTTAGAAAGCTTTTAAGTTTTTTTTTTTTTAATTTTAAAACAATTTTAATACAACAAAAATGTATAAAATAAAAGACTATTGTGCCAATATGGATAAAAATTCGAAAACCAATCCCCCATTGCATGATAACTTTTGTGTTCAGATATAAGAAAAGTATCATGTAGGGGACAGGTCTGTAGGTTGAGACAGTCTGTAAGTTGAGACACTCAATTTTCTCAAAACTTTTCCACTAAAAAAATTTTTTTTATTTTTTTTTTGTAGACCTTTTTAGTGAAAAAACTTTTGGGGAAAACATTATAAGCCAGGCTCTAGCCAGATTTAAGCTGTGAGAGTCGTGTACCATTTTGCACCAAAAAGTTTTTGTGTACTTTTTTCAAAATTCCATTTAAAATTAATAACGTCCTTAAATTAACTTGGTAAGAGATTTAAAACATTAGTATATTAACTGTTAACTAATTAAAAAAAGAATCAGCTTAATGTGACAGTCAGAACAAAAGTTATTAATTTTTTTCCGAAACATCCCATTTTGTGTAAGCTGAGACACTTTGAGCGTGTAAGTTGAGACACCCGTTTTTCATACAAAAAGGCCTGAGGCCAACAGAGGTCGCTTTCTGCATAGTACATTTCTTTGATATTAGGGGAAAAGTGAATGTTCAAAGAGCCTTTTGATTTTGATTGTAATTTGGTCTAAGTTCTTAAAAAATGGATGGGAAATGATTTAGGACGAGCTAAAATTGATTAAATTAACATAAATAAATAGTTCCTTACAGTTTGGAGTATTTTTTGTGTGAGTATTATTGACTTTAAAAAGTGTCTCAACCTACAGACCTCTTTTTCAAATTGTCATTTTTTGGCACTTTTCAAAAAAAATTATTTTTTAGTTTTCCCAAGAAAAAAAAAAAATTTTTTTTGCTTTATTTTACAGCTAAAAGACTAAGCTTTTGATCGGTATCTAACGCGTGAAGTTTCAAAAGCGAATGTCCAAATGGGAGACTAAAAACAAAAGGTGTCTCAACCTACAGACCTCTCCCCTACTTAAACAAACTAAATAAATAACCCAACATGGCAGTTCAATCAAATTAAATATAAAAAAATAATAGTTACAAATATTTACCGAAACGTTTGGCTTATTTAAGTGACTTATGTATAAGTACCAATTAAAATATGAAAATAGCAAAGAACATTTTCATTTTCAATTGCAGGGCACTGGCGCCAGTCTCGAGGGTGTGTCTTTGGAGCTGATGCTGCTCGACTGGGATCGCGTGACCAAGAATGAGGTAAGTTGAATTGGATGACCTAATGCTAATAACCCGATAATTATACGCTTGACATTCTCACAGGTTATCGGTCGGTTGGAGCTGGGCGGACCAAATTCGAGCAGCACCGCTTTGAACCACTGGAACGAGGTGTGCAACTCGCCCCGCAGACAGATCGCCGAGTGGCATAAGCTGAATGAGTAGGGGAGGGGAAGTTACCACCTGGGCGCAGGCGCCCCTTTATAAGGAGGAGTAGAAAAGAAGCAGGAATCGGCAAATAAAAACGGGAGTCATGCGGTTCATCAGTATGAGCTCGATGCCACTTTGAAAATCTCTTTCGTTTAGAATATTATTTAATATGTTTAATATCAATTTTCTAAATTTGTTTATATTAAATCTAATTTCTGGGAGATCACTTTCGATTTTTATGTTTTGTTGTTTTTAAATTTGGAGCAAAATTTAAGCGAGATAAACGGCGACTTACGCTAGAAGCAGGAAAGAAATATTTACCAAAAACCATTAACTAAATTAAATGTATTAGAAAATGTTTAGGACCTTAAAAATGCATGTAAGTGTAAGATAATTCAGAAACATCTTAATATAAACTTGAAGATGTTGTGGAAATGTAACGGAGAAGAAAAAATATAACCACATATTTTAATCGACACCATTTTGGTTGCTGTATAAACTTTACTTCTACGCTTTATGTATCCTACACCCAAATATGATTTTCATATCAAACAATTAAATTCCCATTTAATGTGCCCACCATGAGAAAAACTGAAGCTGATTTCCAAAAGAGATAAATTATTAACCATGCATATGTATAAAATATTTATGATGATACCTAACTCATAAGCATAATGTCACTGTACAATTTGATTTGTATTGTTTAGAAAAGTTTTATTTAATTGTAAAGTATTAAAATATACCATGGATTCAATGGATACCAAACACCAAAGCTACACACTCCGAAAGCTCTTGAAGTGTGTCCTGATGGAAGCGAAGAAAAATGCTTACTGCTTAACACTTTATACGTACTCTTAAAAATAAAAATAACTAAAACTACAAATAAAACTAAACCAAATTGAATCTAGAAAGAACACGCAGCAGAATGCTTAGCACCAAGAAGCTACAAAACCACACACAAATCGATCGAAAAAGTCAGAAAAAAGTTGATTCGGAGAGGAAACCAAACACAATACAATAATGTAAGCAGCATAGTACATGTAGGAATCAATTACCAATAACATACTCTAGAGTATAACCACTCACGAATAGCTCAAACAGAACGCAATAAGCACTCCAGGTGTATCTAGCGGCACTACTTATAAACGGAATGGATAATGGAACCCCAAAGAAAGCATAGCTTAAAGACGACACCGAGTCATTATCCACTTACTGATACTGAGTGTACTGAATACAATTATGAACTATAACAGATCTATATAGACATCAGCCCGCTTCTACGTATATTTTGTAAAATGAATGTTAGAGCATTAAATTTCATTCAATAACTACATACATTCAACCATAAGGATATATACAAACATACATAGCGATTCGAAAGAATGGTAAATAAAACTTCAATTCGTGTCCAATCAAAACTTCAATTCGTCTAATGGGAAAACAATAATTACCAATACATATGCGATGAGTTTTTGCAAAGGAACCCAAAATATATGAGATGTGTATAATTCTACATTATATGTAATAGTAACTGTAAGCTACATCAAATGGTTAATTTCAGTAATAAAACGTATTATATAAAAACAATATGTGTGCGTATTTTTAATTAATTTTTTTAACTTTTAACCATCTGTCTCACTGTGGCTTCAATCTCGTTTTTGGGTATTTCTATATTGTCTAGGTAATGATGTCGAGCTTTTCATTTAAGATTGAATGAATTTTCTGAATAGGTCAATAATTTTTAGGCTTAACTTTTATATTTTTATTAACATCAAAATATGTGTTTTAATTAAATAATTTATTATTATACAACCCTAGTCAAAAGTAATTTCACAAATTTGAATGTTAACTGTACTCATATTTTGAACTTATAATTTAAACATTTTGGCACCTATGGAAAGAGCACTTCAATTAAAAAATTAGACAACAAATCAAAAAAAATACAAGGAAAAATATTTTGAAAATTTTTTAAGCAGCTATTATTAATTTTGATTGGGGAACAACTTTGCATCAAGCCTCAGGGAAAAAGTTGAAAATTTGACTTTCACAAAATTTGCTCACTTTTCAAAATGGTCTTGATGGATTAAGAACAAGAAAATAAACGGAATTGAAGTGCTTTTTCTATAGGTGCCAAAAGTTTATATTACAAGTTCAAAATATAATAACAGTTAACATTAAAATTTGTGAAAATACTTCTGACCACCCCTGTATAATGTTAAAAATCAAGTTGTCGACTGTTTTAAAAAACACAAATTATGTTGCACTTATTTATACCCAAGCAGAGGGTATTATAAATTCAGTCATATATTCGTATATTCTTGATCACCACCAAAAGCCGAGTCCATCTAGCCATGTCCGTTTCTATGCGAACTAGTCTCTAGTCGCGAAGAAACTTTCCCAAAAGTTTTCTTTCTATTGCAGGTAGTACAAATGTCGTAAGGAGCTGGATCGGAACACTATATCTTATGGCTCCCATAGGATAATCAAAAGAGAAAAGAAAAAACATTGTAATTTTGTAGAAAGTATGCGTTTTTTGATTTTTGACAATAATTCATCTGGAATCCTTGGTATTATTTTACCTGCAAGGGAATATAAACTTCGGCAGGCCGAAGTTAACTTCCTTTGTTGTTGTATTGTTTATTAACAGTTTGCTAGATACATATTCTGACGCGTCAGACAAAAAGTAAAAATGGCTAAATAAGGCTATACATGGATTTAAAAATGTTCATCTCATTTAGATGCCTCTATGGCACCAGTATGAGTCAAAATGCGTTGTGCAACCACATTCCCGTTTGCGTGGCCAAAAACATACCCCTTTTTTTGACTGAGGATCGGAAACTCTCCTGGAAGGTAAGGCACCCATCCAACTTACAGAGGAATGCCCATGTGTCCGGCCAGACCGTTGTTCATCTAAGCTGCCATAACGAACAAATTTTGATCGGAGTTAGTGCACCCTGGATGGTTTCACGATGGACTGCGATGGGCACGGTCAGTTGCTTCTCCGGCTATGAGCAACCACGGGAAGTGGGTGTTCTCTAAAAAGCTAGCAAGTTGCGAGGCCAAAATCGGTGAGTGGCAGCTGAAAGAGAGAACCGCAGTTGAGATAGCCTGCAAGGCCACCAGCTTATCGCCTTATATCCTAATTCACAACGGAGCGATGTTTCCGGGAGGTAGCCATTAGGAGTGTAGCCTCCACGGAGCCCGTGCTCTACACTGTGGCCGAAGATGAATGGAACTGCGTGACCTTTTCGCCCGACGAACTCCAGTCCTACAAGCTGCACAATGTGTCCTATATACACTAAGTGAGGTAATTCGTTTAGATTATCTCAAATAGTCGAAGTAAGTCATTTAGGTTAAATTTTCGTTAAAAGTTTCAACTTGAAACAAATTTTTGAATAATTCTTGAAACTTTAAAATTCAGCAGAAAAAAAGCGTTAATGTTTAAACTAAATAATAGTAATAAATAATAATTGTTATAATTGTTGAAAAACTTGATTAAAATAGCTATCAAATTTATTGTCGGAAATTTCGTGGGTCAAATATGCAAAAATTTGTAAGCATGGGAAATTGTTCATAAATAAATACAATTTCTTTGCAGTGTTTTGAATAGGCAGTACTTAGGTTTCTTAGCCCCAGTTCGTTTGCTACAGCCTCTGGAGATTGACTTGCAGTTGAGACCCGCTTGCCTAATAAAAGAAGTCATTTACCACTGGGTTATCGCTGGTGATTTCATTGGTATAAGGATACAAGGAAACTAGGACGATACGAACCAAGAGAAGAAATTAGCGACGCCAGTGCGTTTATGCAGGCCATCCAAAATGATATTTCCGACACACAGGCGAAGGGGAACATTTAATTCACTTTATTACTGGTTGAGTTCGTGGTTAATCGGAAATCAATTTACATCAACTGAGGAACACACATCTACTATTGACAATTATATAAGTATGTTTGCATATTCAGCTGGATATCCGCGGGTATCCACGCCGTTCAGCGATCGAAGTCCAATCGGGAACTATTCTTGGTATTCGCATATCTTAGCCATTGAAATCGTACTGTATTCTCCTGTAATCGTTAGACGGTAAAACAAATAATCATTTAGCTCAGCTATCTGAATACCCCAAATGTTTCTATTTAATGCGTGTGGTGTGTGTGGTTCAGAGTTCATTTTGCTATTCACTTAACTGTAGGATTTTTGTTTTGTGTTCCATTTTCGGGTTTGTCTTTACATTGAGATTGCATTCTGGAGTTAAACACTAGCTATGGGTTAGTTTAAATTTACTTTAGATTAAGATTAAAATTAAAATTATTTTATTTAATAATACATTACATTTGATGTTGTCATACTCGTAATTACGTTTAGGTTTAGTATCTGCCATTTAGTACGAAATTTTATAGGACACATTCAGTTTGCTTAGTAACTGCGGTAAAAACGCTCTTTAAAATGTTTGATTTTTCTTTATTTCCTCTTCTTGTTCGTTAATTTTGATCACTTCAGTCTTTCCAAAAAGTAATACAACATCTCTGTTCGGTTTTATTTTCCTTTTCCTGCTTCTGTTTTCGCAACTGCCAACATATACTTAGAAAAGATTCTTTCAAAATAGTTGTCATCTATCGCATAGTTTCGTCTATAGTAGTAAACACATTTGATTTCATGAATTTTTTTGCTTTTTGTGTTTTGTTTCTCGAGAAGATTTTCTCAGAAATGTCTGTATTTAATACGATACACCTAAACAAATATATATGAAGATTTGTATTTAAATGTAATTACGTTTGCCGGTAAGTTCCTTTAGGTTCATGTATATCTATGTACATATATCGGCTTAGTTTGCAGCTTCTGACTTCTGCCCTTGATTCAAGACTGCGAGATCCGTTTGTGCATCAATAATAACTTACTTTTCAATTATATTTACAGGCGGCAATAGACGAGGTCTGGGAAAACCAATAACTCGATAGGAAAACTTTCGCTGGACAGAATTTGTATGCTCGTAGAACGCAGGATTTACATTGATTGCTCGCCAGTTAATCGCGATTTGGTGCTCGTTTTCCAAGCCATTGTGTAAACATAGGTATGGACGGTGTTGGTCAAATTAGAGTACGTATCGTTGGCCATTTACAGTTTGCTTATCGGGTGCACGAGAACACCCTTAACTTAACCGAAATAAGATCTAGAAAAATTACAAAATGTCCGATACGAGCTACGACTAACTACAAATTAATACTGTACAGGAATGCACGCCTCGTCTCTGCTTGGAGAAATAATGTATAAACTACCAACTTAGAAGTAGGCCCCTAGCTATCCCTTGTCCTTCCCAGGACCCACGCTCACGCCCAGCAGATGCTCCCCCGCCATCAGACCCGCCGGCTGGTGGGCGTAGTTCCGGATCTGGTGCAGCGAGATCAGCTGGTTGGGGAACGCGTTGGCGTTGTTCTGGTTCACGTTCTTGTTCGGAAAGCTGATGGCATCGTAGAGATAGGGTCGCTGGGCCATCGGGTGGTGGCTCAGCGAGTTCAAGTGCGGCGGCATCGAGTTAATCGGCGTGAAGGCCGAGTTGCTGGTGGTTTTCGTGATGGATGCGGCGTCATAGGGCCCCACGGCACTTGGGGTCGAAACTGTTGGGGAAATAAAATAAAAAGGAAAATAGTCAGAAAAAGTTAGACTTTTTTTTTTGACTGATGTTTTATATAAAATTTTCATTGAAAATGTTCCTAATCTTAGTCTTATTAAAAGATTAGTAGCAATCTCATTTTGTACAAAAATATCTCTTAACGAGGAAAGGAGGTCGGGACGATCGCATGGGCCATTAAAAGGGCCTCACATTTTGTAACTGTGCACTTAATAGCGTAAATTGTATTCCCTTTAATTGTAAAAAAAGTGTACATAAATATTGAATATGTCTCTCTACACCTTATAAAAGTAGTTTTTCGAAGTCATATCCCACAATTCGTCTTAACTTTTATCTGGTCAATATTCTTAGCACTTTTGAATCAAATAACAATCCTGGGGATGGCATTTCAAATGTTCCAATCGTGAAATGTGGAAAGTTTATTAAGGTTTTGAAGAACAAATTTTTGCATTTTGACAGGAAGTATCGCCCAAAATCAAATATTTTTGGAATAAAACAGTCTGGTTCCAAAAGGGCAATTCTTTAAAAAATGATTTTTGAGGTCTGTTTCGTGCACGTAATACACTGAACAGGATTCTTATTTTATTCAAAAGTGTTAAGAATATTGACCAGACAAAGGTTAAGACAAATTGGGGGATATGACTTCGAAAAAAAACTTTTTTTTAAGGTATAGAGTGAAATATTCAATATTTATGTATGGGCCGAAGATTAGAAGGATCAAAGATCCAGCCTAAAGCTGGATTATTCTCAAAATCGAATCTTTTAGTTTATATTTAACCAGAAAAAAAATTTCGGTTAAGTTTGATAATTGGAACCGGAAAAAATCAATTGTGTCGTATAATTATGAAACACCTTAAAATTAAGATTTTGTTATAAGTTATGCCACGGAGGCAAATATTATATTGTTTTCACATGAAATTCTTTGTTTTGTTATAACGATTAAATACAAACACAATCACCTTAATACGACTTTAAGTAAAAAAAATATTTAAGAAATTTATAGTGTCGTATAATTTTGAAACACACCTTAGCTCTATCGGTATAGTGATCACTTACCTATATCTTCCCTCACGGGATCGGGCATGCGATGATGGGGCTGCAACTCCGGTCCGTGTCCGTTGCTCTGGGCTCCGTTGGGCGCCGTCGGCTGAGCGTAATGGGCCTCCATACTGTGCTGCGGGGGCGGTTGCTGCTGTGGATGGTGGTGTTGCTGCTGCTGCTGTTGCTGCTGCTGCTGGGGCGGGACATGTTGCTGCGGCGGGACTCCGTGCTGCGGATGGTGGTGGTGGGCCTGCTGCTGTTGCTGCTGCTGTTGTTGTTGCTGCTGCTGTTGCTGCTGCTGGTGCATCACCTCCATGGCATTGGCGGCAGCGGCAGAATCCGGACTTACCTTCGGCCAGTAGCCGTTGTCGCTGGTCGCAATCGAGACGGGGGGCAGGCCCAGGTTGTTGCGCTGATGCTGGGCGGGATTGGGGGGTGGGGGAGGTCCGTTGGCGGGGTTGCCCGCTCCACCGTTGGCAGCAGCAGCGGCTGCCGCTGCAATGGCCGCCGCACTGCCCGGCGCAATCGGCGGCCGCTTGTCCGTCCGCTCCGCGTGCTTCTGCATGTGCTTGGTCAGGTAGGTCTCCTGGGTATAGGACTTGCCGCAGTACTGGCAGATGTGCGTCTTCAGGTGCTTCGACTCCTTGTGCTTGGGGATGTGCTCCAGCAGCGAGGGCTCGTCCGAGAAGCACTTGTAGCAGGAGTTGCACTTGAACGGCTTGTCCGTCTGGTGGCACCGCGAGTGCGACTGCAGGTTGGAAAGCTGCGAGAAGGCCTTCTGGCAGCCGGGATGCCGGCACTTGTACGGCTTGTCGCCCGTGTGCGTCCGGATGTGCTGCTGCAGGTGCGAGAGCTGCGTGAACTTCCGCTGGCAGATCTCGCAGCGGTACGGCTTGATGCCCAGGTGGATCCGCGTGTGTTGCGACAGATACGATGAGTTGGCGAAGGCCTTCGAGCACTGGGTGCACTTATACGGCTTCGCCTCCCGCATGTGGATCTGGGTGTGCAGCTGCAGATCTGCCTTCGAGCTGAAGATCTGAGGATGGGAAATCGCATATTTAGCACTGGAGTTAAGAATGATTTCGCTGCTGACTTGCTGTTGGTGGAACTGGGTTTTCATCGCTATTTATTTTAAAAAGTGATCAGAGATAAACATTTCGAATTTTTTCTTTATAGCGATGGCTCTCTACGTTTCTGTCGACTATCTTATACAAAATCGTGACCATCGATGCCTCACCATTGATATTCATCTCATTTATGAACCTTTATGAACCTTTACACAAACAAGAGAGAACGCTTTGGTCGAATGTACCGACTATAAAATTTCCGTTACTCACTTTAAAGGGGGTGCAACAAATTTTAATTGCTCATAAATTTAATGAATGGTTCGATTTGAACAATTGATGGAAATTGATAATCATCTGATTATAATAAAAAAAAACAAGAAAGGAAGCTACCTTCGGCCAGCCGAAGCTTATATACCCTTGTAGATAAAAGAATGCTCACTCGGTGCAGTTCCAGGGATTCCAGATTCAGCGTTTCTATTTATTTAAATTTTGTTTTTAAGTAGTTAAGAATCAAAACGCCTACTTCCTACAAAGTTACAATGAATTTTCTTATATTTGTTTGAATATTCCTATGGGAGCCTTAAGATATAGTGGTCCGATCCGGCTCTCTCCGACATATGTACTACCTGCAATAGAAAGCAGACTTTCGGGAAAGTTTCATCGCGATAGCTTTAAAACTGAGAGACTAGTTCGCATAGAAACGGACAGACGGACAGACAGACAGACGGACAGACGGACATGGCTAGATAGACTCGGCTATTGGTGCTGATGAAAAATATATATACTTTATGTGGTCGGAAACGTCTCCTTCACTGCGTTGCAAACATCTGAGTGAAATTATAATACCCTCTACAAGGGTATAAAAATTCAGTAACACTTTTACAAAATCGTTTAAAATGTTTTTCTGTTTTGCTTGAGATACTTGATACTTGAGATAAAATAATACAGATGGATTTAAATAATGAGCTCAATAAATCATTCACTTTTCGGTTTCTATACTTGCAGCTTTCAAATAAAGAGTTAAATGTATCGCAAAATCTGTAAAATTTCATTTTCATTTCATATAGCCTTTTTTATACCCTTGTAGAGGGTATTATAAGTTCAGTCAGATGTTTGCAACGCAGTGAACTTATATAACAAAGCTGTATTAATTCAGCTGACTGCTAAAAAAATATATTGCATTTTTATAATATCTGGTAGATATTATCTCATTGCTGAGAAAAATAAAGGAAATCTAAATATGTGGTTTTAAAGGCAATTTTGGCTTTATGGCGGCCAAAGAATTTACAATAAATGATCGTAACGACGATTTCCTTAGATTCACAAAAAAATAGATGTTACACATTCATATTAAGGTGCATTATTAAGAAATCGTCTTCAATCGATTATATTTACAATAAAAAAACTCAGCTCCTTCGATTTTAAACCCTTAAACTTGTATTATTTTTCCACATTGTATTTTTGTATGGCAAAACAAGCAACTTTGAAAATACAATTAAAGCCACATTATTTCTATATGTAAATTCCGTTCATGAAAGTGAAAAAAACCTGGATCCGTCACTGATTTTAATGGTTTCTTTTTTCGATTAAGTCTATTCGTAACAAGTAGTAGAGCGTTAATCTGTGTAAATCGAAAATAGCTACATTTAAATTTCTATAGTTATAAGCACAGAAAGCCTAATTAAGATATGTTGCAATTCGCAAATTTAGATTGTTTTTATACCCCTGCATTATTATATTTTTATACCCGTTACTCGTAGAGTAAAAGGGTATATTAGATTCGTGCAAAAGTATGTAACAGGTAGAAGGAAGCGTTTCGGACCCTATAAACTATATATATTCTTGATCGGGATCACTAGCCGAGTCGATCTAGCCATGTCCGTCTGTCCGTCTGTCTGTCCGTCTGTCTGTCTGTCTGTCTGTCTGTCTGTCCGTCCGTATGAACGCTGAGATCTCGGAAACTATAAAAGCTAGAAGATTGACATTTTGCATGCAGATTCTAAGAGTTCCTACGCAGCGCAAGTTCTAACGCCCACAATCGCTTATACACAATTTTAAAAATTTCACTATTTCGGAAAAGTAAAAATGAAGTTTTATTGTGTTTATCGAAATGTAGAAGAAATTTTTTAAATCGGACCATTCGTTAAAAAGTTACAGCGGATCAAAGTTTTTATCTCCATCTCCTTCGCACTCCCTTTAGCTGAGTAACGGGTATCTGATAGTCGGGGCACCCGACTATAGCGTTCTCTCTTGTTTTTTTTAATCTGAAGCTTGCAATTATATTTTTTTTAAACAGTCGACTAAAGGATCCGGCACAAATCTTAAAATAATACGAAAATCGCCTAAGTTTAATTTATATAAAAATGTAATATTTATAAATTTAAAAATAATTGTTTATTTTTAAAAATTAAATCGAGCGATAAAAAAGTTAGCTTTCTTTCGAGTAGACATAATTTCACTGGAAAGATATTTATTTTGGCCCTTAAAGGTAAACCAAAGCCTTAACCCAAAATTGTTGAAAAACTTTGTTTAAAGTCCCCCATCACCTTGGTATCCTTCACGTCCAACTGGGTCATGTGATGCGGCGAACTGGTGGAGGATGAGATGCCGTTCCCCGATCCTGCTGCCGGGGTCACGCCACCCACACCACCCGTCCCGGTGGAGGAATTCTGGGGATTTCTTTCGTTCAGCGTCGCATTCTGCATCCGAATACCGCCGTTGTCCACGCTGTTGCTGGTCACAATGATGTGCTGGTTGGGATTGGGATAGATGCGCGACTTGCGGCCCCTGGTGGAGCCAGTGGGGGCGGTTCCCGAGGCGGTGCTGCTCCCACTACTACTGCTGACCACCGCGTCGTTCACGTGCTTCTGGCTGCTGGCCACCGATCCACTGACCGCCGAGGAAGCCACACTGCTCTCCAGATTGGTAATGCTCGGCTTGGGCTCCGGCACCAGTTGATACTGATGTTGCTGCTGCTGCTGATGTTGCTGCTGTTGCTGTTGCTGCTGCTGCGGTGGCTGGGATTGCTGATGGGGCTGCTGACTGTAGCTAAGGACCGAGTTCCTCAGATCGGCCGTGTTGGAGAAAACACTGAGTGGACCCAGGGCCACACGTTCGTTGAGGCTGTTCCGCAGGTGATCGATGGACCGATGCACGGCATGGGAATAGTCACCGCCAGCGGGCGGAATCTCCCCGATTAGCGGCGAGTTGTGGTGGTAGTCGAGGCCACCGCCTATCGGCCGATACTCGATCAGTCGGCCCTCCATTTGGCTGCTTATTAAATCTATTTTGGTTTAATTTTATTTCACTGGTCCAAACACAATTTTACTCCGACGAGGATTTGCAGGTATCTTTAGGTTTTTCACTTTCACTTTGTTACAATTCAGTTTATTTCTACTGTTTCGAAGAAGAATTATATTTGGTGATTCCTTTAGCTCCTTAATTTATATACAAAATTAGTGAGAAAAACAACGCGAAGAATCCTTGGCCCCGTGAATTTTGAACTTAGATTTGGGATTGTGTCGAACTTATGAAGGTAGGTTTTATTAATATTACTTCATCGATTTAAATTGGCCCAAAATGTAAGTCAGGATATGCAAGTAACAATAATATTTAAAAGTTGAATACTAAAATAAATATTAACCTATTTCCAACACATGTATTTAACACTCAATCTTTTGGCCAGAGAATAATCCTGTGATTTCTCACAATTTACCTTGGAATGAATGCGAATGCAACAATTGGCGAAATAGAATAAATTTGTTGAAGCTGTGTTAGCGCTTTGTTGACATTCTGCCACAACTGCCAAAGCCAATATTAAATAAGGGGGAAATAACAGAAACGATGCTCCACTAAAAACCTGCGAGACGAGACCGCAAAAACGCTTTGGTCTCGACTGGGTGCACCGCCGAGCCGGAAAAGCGCCTTTTTGTCTTTGCTTTTGTTGTCCTAAACCTAACGCCATTTTTTTCCACAGCTTACTTTTTATTTTGCATTTTCAATTGCTACGCCTGTTCACATTTTTTTCTTATCCCCCTTAACGTTTTTACGCGACAGAAATATTTTTTCCACACGAATTTTGCTTTTTCGGCTTGTGTTCGACTTTTTGCGTCGCGTTTCCGTTTTTCCATTTTCTATGCATTTCTCTTTTTGGACTGCCTTCGATTAGATTTTTTCTATATATTTGTATAAATGCTTGGCTCTGCTTTTTTTTACCTCCCCCGTTTTGTTGATTTTTTTTGTGGATAGCTAGTCATTCAGGCGCAGACATGCCGCAGACATCCTGTGGAATTTTCCAGGTGAAAGTCCTCAATGGTATTTTTTCTGCTCGACTTTTTATTGAAATGCTCCAATTTGATACCTTCTAGTTCTAAACGCGACAAATTATTCATTCATGAGCTGAACGTTGTTTGTGTTGTTGTCCTGTCAATGTTTCTGTTTTTTCATCTTGCTTTTACTAGTTTGTTTAGATATAAATGGATGAAATGGAGTTTTTGCATTTATACCATTGACCTTGAATGCTATTTTTGTGGGTTAGAATTTTGCCTATTCAAAAGAGAAGGCCAAAATAGATTTGTCAACACTTTGACTGCTGACATGCAAATACAGGCGAATATTTTGCGGCTTCGGTTTAATTATTGCAAGTGTTAATGCATGATTAACAAATTATTTATGAAATTGAAATGTAAGAGCTGAGAGGTTCTCTGAGATTTAATTGACATGACAATGAGCTGTGGAATGCTTGGTGGCAAATATGAAATGCGAAATGAATTTAAATGACTTTTCTGCTTGAAATGGATACCTGTAACATATTACTTTGTAGTTTTTATAATTTATTTTTAATTAAAATGATTTCAGTCTTTTAAAACGATTCACGGTGTGTTGAGGAGGCCGTAACTGCTAACGAAATGATCTATGGTCATTATGAAATACATTTTTCATTTCCACGCACAAGGTATATAAATCTGTG